GGAGGTGGAGGTGGAGGTGGAGGTGGAGGTGGAGGGGAGTGAGGAGGATGAATGGATGGTGGACCGCGGATGGTCTGCGAGTTTATTGAGGAGAATTTCCAGGGCGGAAATGATGGATACATAGATTGTGGGCTGACCGGCTGAGCGCACATGGATTGAGCCCGGGGAGTTGACGTCGAGGGCGCACAGGAGCGTCAGAGTTTGGGTTTGCTTCAGGTTGATTGTTATGAGCTATGATCTGTGTCAATATCAGCTGTATGATACGAATCCACTTCAGCGAGACTGGACGGGTGCTTCCGCCCTGCACATCAATGCGGAATGTGATGCAAATACTGTTGAGCATCAAGCGGGGATGCCCTCTCTTGTCTTGGTATTGTTGTTGGATAGTGGAACCCTTTCACAAGACAAGCTCCGTTCATTTGAGGAAAGAAGGGAACGCAAGGGTCGATCACCGTGTCTTCTGGCGATGTCGGAAACATGTGAACGTGAGGATTTTCGACCGCGCGACATCAGACAACAAGACTGCTGCAGCTAGAGCCGCGTCAGGCCACTCGAACCTCCACCGAAGCTGTCTGGACCAGTCGGCGGAGGTGATGCGTAACCCCTTCGCTAGCTATGTACCCCGCGAAGCTCCATCGTGGAGAGCTCTACACTAGAACCTGTCATCAAGGCGCGCTCCTCGTCAATCCCGGGCCTTCTCATTTCGGGATCCGGCAAGTCGGGGATTCAAATGAAGGATCACGCAGCGGAGCGAAGGACGGCATGGCCAAGTCACTGGAAATTAGCAATGTCCGCCTTCTAATCCCCCGACGGCGGCAGAAGCATCGTATTGCATAGATCACTACCCCTCCACGACCGGGGTACGACGATATGTGAAGCGTCATAAGGCCCCTTAGCCCTCATGTAACGCACTGAGGAGGGGTAGCCTAGGTTCCGAGCGGTAGCGGAGGGAACGGAACACAACTAACGCGGGGAGATGAGACGTGAGGAGGAGTATAAATACCGCGATAGATGCTCCTCAGGGTAGAGATTCGACTGCAAGAAGAGTTCAATTCAAACTGTATATAAAAGCATCAACCCAACGAAAGCGCCCAATCAACCTACCATACCATCACTCACCATGGCAATTGAAGTCGTCGCTATCCTTACCCCTCTCCCGGGCAAGAAGCAGGAGGTTCGTAACCCGATCATTCCACAGTGAATGTCGTGTCTGACTTCGACGGATCCAGGTCATCGACGGGCTCAAGGTCCTCGCCGACGCGGTCCAAGCCAACGAGCCCAATTGCGAACGCTATCAACTCTCCGAGGTGGCCGGGGAGGACGAGCTCGTCTTCATCGAGAAGTACGCCTCCGAAGCCGATTACGAGACCCACCGAAACTCGGAGCATTACAAGGCAGCCATGGCGGAGGCCGCGAAGCAGAGCGCGCTCGCTGGCGCACCGAAGATCAGCGTCCTGAAGCCGACCGGCACGGGGTTCAACCGCAAGGATTAGAGGGTGGTTTCGGCCCGTCGACTTGAATCGGGAGGACTTTCTTCGATTCATGGCCAGAAAAGCGGATGATATATAGTATATTAAACACGACTGGATATGAAAATTGAAAAGTTTGATCAGCCAGCAAATAAAACGGGATCTCTGAAACGTGATAATGTACAGGCCTGAGGTACGGAGTCCACTTCGTCGTTTTGCAGTCCTCATCTCCGATTTTCCTCATTTCAGGTCCACCCACAAGGATCAGTTTGGGTACCAACGAATACGTGTCCGAGTTTCACGAGGACCACTGTTCTTGATCACAATCGCCTCCTTGTATCGACCGAAGAAAGAAACGGAGGGAAAGGCTGATGGAGAGTCCAATTGCGTATTGGTAATTGGTGTATATATGGTAGGAGGGAGTTCTCCTGAAAACATACCGACTGGTCTTGTGAACGTCCGTGCCAACAACCTTCAGCAGCATCAAAACAGAAAATTCAGCGTTCTGTATCACAGATTACACCACGATTGGAGATCGCGCACAGCCTCCCTCAAACGGTCTAACCACAAAAGATGGTGATCTGCCCAATTGCAGGCGATTTATTGCGTGTCAAGCAGTGGATAAACTGGATATAGAGTTATAGACCCATTCTTTGCATGTCCAATGCAGTAGCGCTGCCGCGTGTACGTGCTTCCCGCCGAACCCTGGGCAGTCTGTAATTACGCTTCAGAGCCTTAAGCCTAGACTCTTATGTTTTATCATGATCGACGAAGTTTCAAACACCTAAAATTCATCGAATTTCTACCTCCAAAGCCGCTTGGGTTGGGACTGGTTGTGTCGTGGGGAATGTTGTGATTGATAATTACTGGGAGAAAAATATATTCTCGTCCATTCGCTTTGCTGGAAGTCTGGAACGGCTGGAAAAACTTCCATTGGAGGCTCCAAACCAACGACAGAGTGACGTTTGTAGCTCGACCTGGAAACTCCTTCCATTCTCCCTTATCCCCTGCCTTCAGTGCCTTGCCATTGGGTCAACAATTCGATTTCTCCTCGATTCTACCGCCCATTTTCGAGGTGCATGCACTTGCTGGTGCGCAATCGCATGGATCTGGCTGTTTCCAAGACGCGGACTCGAAGATATTGAGGCTGTCGTTCGTTTTCCGCAAACCAGGACTTGACTCTCCCGACCTCCCTTAGATGTGGCGACCTTGGGGGTCGACCAACGACGATGCGGACGCGCAATCTCGAACCCCAGTTGACAATGATGCCGCGCGACGAAACCCAATAGAGTCGCGACCAGATACTGCACCTCCTTCTATACAATTGGATGTCGATGCCAAAGATCGAAGAAGACAGGTCGATGAGATGGGTCAGACGAAACCACGGTTGGGCGACGGAATCCAACCCGTAGTGGAAGGAAAAGAGAAAATGGCGGACACCAAAACCGGGCTGATAGGCGACACGAGGAAAGCGGACAAATCGACGATAATACACCCCAGGACGCGTGCGCGTTTACGCAACCCATGGGCGGTCTCGCTGGTTGCGTTGTTGACGTTGCTGTCAGCGATTGCGCTCCTGTTCGCAATCGTCCAGTCATTCCTAACCAAGCAATTGGATCCGAAGGGATGCTCTATGTCGTATATGCGCCCATCGTTCGTGCACTTCTCGGATTTCGATACCGAACACACCAGATTTGCGACGAAGTATAATTTGTTCTTATATCGGGAAGGCGAGATTGATGAGGATCCACGGGTATGGCACAGCATACGAGAGTGTTCAATGAGTTGAATTGCTAAGACATCGCAGGTCAAAGGCGTCCCCGTCATCTTCATCCCCGGAAACGCCGGTAGCTACAAGCAAGCCCGCTCCCTCGCCTCCGAGGCGGCATACCACTTCTACAATTCCATCCGACCGGATGACGATGCGATCAAAGCTGGGAAGGCCCCCCTCGACTTCTTCTCCGTGGACTTCAACGAAGACATAACCGCATTCCATGGCCAGACGTTGCTCGATCAGGCCGAATATCTCAACGATGCCATCGCCTACATTCTCCGACTATACCATAGCCCTTACCGCTCCATCCGCGATCCCAACCTCCCTGATCCGAGCTCCGTCATACTTGTTGGTCATTCGATGGGAGGTATCGTAGCTAGGACGATGCTCAGCATGTCGAACTATCAGGCCAATTCCATCAATACAATTATAACCCTCTCCGCTCCTCACGCACGACCGCCAGTCACCTTCGACGGTGCGGTCGTCCGGATATATAACGAGCTCAACGACTACTGGCGCGAAGCGTACTCTCAGAAATGGGCGAACGACAACCCACTCTGGCACGTTACATTGATCTCCATCGCGGGCGGTGGTCTGGACACCATCGTCCCGTCGGATTACGCCAGCGTTGCTTCTATCATCCCGGAAACGCACGGGTTTACGGTTTTCTCATCGACCATTCCAGAAGTTTGGACCGGAATGGACCATCTTTGCATCACATGGTGCGACGAGCTGCGGAAAGCCGTCGTCCGAGCATTGTACGACGTTGTGGACGTGAGCCGCCCAGTGCAAACGAAGCCGCGAGCGGAGAGGATGCGCGTCTTTAAGAGGTGGTTCCTGAGTGGACTGGAACCAATAGCAGAGAAAACCTTGCAGCAGAAGGAGGCTCATACGCTGTTGACGCTGGATGATCCGAGCATCGCTTTGGCAGCCGGAGATCGTTCGGGGTCGACGCTAATGGACCCCACTGGTCATATGAAGTTGCAGTTACTAAGTGTACCGCGACGGAGCTCTGCAGCGGGACAGCAGTTCAAATTCCTCTCAACCCATCGGATCACCGATAGTCAAGAAACGAAACTCCACGTTCTTGTCTGCAGCGTCTACTCCGCCCACCCCGGCCGCGCCGCGGCATTTTTTACGAGTACGTTCGAATTCTCGAAAGACCCCTCTCCTAAAACACGCCTGGCCTGCAAAGATGCCGCTGCAGATGTTATCAAGCTGCCAGCCTCGACGGTGTGGTCGAAGCAATCTTTCGAGAAACAGGAACCGTTCAATTATCTGCAATACAATGTGGAGGAGCTGGGGGATGTGCAATTCATCGCGATCGTGACTCGTGGCGGAGAAAATGAGGGGAGGGATGAATACCTTGCTGAAATTAGTAGGAAGGAAGAGGCGGAAATCAAGGTTGATACTGGACTGCGGGAGCTGGTCCTGCACGGTGTCAGTGTCAAATTCCCAGAACGAAGACCCCTTTCCGTGGAGGTGAAGATCCCGGCGCTGCGATCAAGCCTGCTCGCGTATAAGCTCTCCTTGACAGACCAGTCTTGCACTGGAACGCAGCCAGAATTATTCCGACCATTGCTCCGTCAGTATGTTACGGACGTCTATGAGTCGCGGTTCTTCGTCAATGTGAAGGACATCGACATCAACCTCCACGGCGTGGCACCGTATCTGCCTCCATCATACATGGTGCACGGCACCTCCAACGGCCTTGCCCTGCAGCTCTGGTCCGATCCGACGTGCGGCAGCCCGATGGAGATCCGGCTCCAAGTCGACATCCAGGGCAGCCTGGGCAAGCTCTGGATGCGATATCGCACCGTGTTCGCGGCCTTTCCGCTCGTCATCGTCGCGCTGGTTCTTTGGGGGCAGTTTTCATCGTACGATGAGACGGGGATCTTCATGAGCTTCGCGGAGAGCATGAACCAATCCTTCCGTGGATCGATCCCGGCATTCGTCCTCGGACTCACCGTCCTCACGCTCGCTCTATCCACGCTCGCTCTATCCACTCCGTCCACTCCCGCGTTGAGCGCCGCATCCACATCAACCGTCTTCGGCTCCCCATTCCTGACGGCGATATTCCACCCCTTCCTCGCCGCCACGCACAATAACCTCCTCGGCCTCTCCGACCCCTTCTTCTGGTTCCTCGTCCCGCTCTTCGCCCTCATAAGCGCCGGTCTCTGCATCCTCATCAACTACACCCTCTCCCTCCTCACCCTCGTCCTGTCCTTCATCTACGCCAAGTTCCACTACCCCCGCGCTGACGACAGCCGCCGCTCCGCCACCTCCTTCGCCGTCACCACCACTCGCCAGCGCCTCGCCACCACTGCCGTCCTCCTCCTACTCGTCTCCACCGCCATCCCCTACCAATTCGCCTTCCTGGTTCTGTGCATCGTGCAGCTCGCCACGGCGGTGCGCGCGGTGCGGTTGGCGCGGGACACTGCGGCACGGGTGGAGGGAGAGGGGAACGCGAATTTCTCGAACTACGCGCATAGCGTCCTGGTGCTGATGATCTGGATCCTGCCGATCAATGTCCCGGTGCTAGTGGTGTGGATTCGGAATCTCGCGGTGCAGTGGATGACGCCGTTCGCGAGCCATCATAACATCCTTAGCGTGATGCCGTATATATTGTTGGTGGAGACGTTGAGTACGGGGCGGATGGTGATGCGGATCTCCTCACGGTATGTTTGCCCTCTCTCCTTTATTCTCCCCCCTTCTTAGAACAGATTCGACTTGTATGAGACTTGATTTGCTGACCCTCATCCAGCCTCAGCCTCGTCACCAGCGCCCTCCTCTTCTCTCTCGCGCTCTTCGCCGCCATCTACGGCGTCTCCTTCGCATACATGTTGCACCATATCGTCAATCTTCTCTGCGCGTGGCTTGCGCTCGTCCATTTCGCCGCGACCGACTGCTCCAGACAAGGTGTAAATCGACTGTTCGGAACCACCCTGAACGTCGCGAACGGCCCGGTAAAAGAGCGCCCGCAATAATCGCGGCGCCGGTTTCTTTGTGTTTATTCTGTCCTGGTACTGCGGGCGGGAACGGGGGATATCTGGGACGGCGTTCGATCGGGGCATCCGCATGTTCGGGACATGGTATCGAATAGATTCGGGGGTTCTTGCCTGCTAGGCCGTATGTACGATTGCGACAGGAGAACTGCATAAATTTTGTTTTACTGCAGCGGACGGTGGCAGCTAGTGCGGGGCTTGAGCCTTGAGCTCTTTGGCAGGGAATTCCATGGAGGTGTAACTTCGGGTAGAAGGAATGAAACTTAATGGAAGAGGATCTTGCTGTGGACTCATGACTTTTCGTTCGTTTATAGCCTTTGAAGTTTATCGTCATCTCGCTGCCTTCTACGTCTATACTAATGCCACCGGAGGTTCCAGGCCTTACGCGAGGCCCTGAGCCGCTATTTATCTTCTCATCTGCCTTGATCCTAACGCTTTTGCCTTGTTTTCATCCTTGGTTTGTTTTGCAGTCAAGTTACTGTGCTAGGGATCGAACTACCTAAGGGCAAGGAATCCACCACGGAAGGGTTTGCCAGTCCACGCGCATTTTGATATCATTCAGCAACCCATGTCTTCGAGCCAGTTTCAAGGCGAGACCCGCGATGCCGCCGGTCAGAGTATTGAAGTAACTAAAGGAGCCGAACAGGCACGGCTATGCAAAGCATGCAAGAAGATCTTCCAGACGGATCTGCCAGGCTATCAGAACGGGATATCGAAACATAAATGGCGCGAGGACCCGCACCACCAAACCAGCGAAAATTTCAAAGATGCAATTACGCACGGGTGCTGGATCTGTCACCGCTGGTTCCACACGGTTCTTGTTAATCAGCGTTATAGCGGGCAATCCGGTGCTTCGGTGGCCGCGATATGGGCCAGATGGCAAGAGGTCGATGGCCAGAAACAGCCACATGACGACTTGGGGTTCGGTTTCTCGGGGTACCGTGGTGACCCTAGGTCTGGGAGCTTTTTTTTATTCCTTGATGAGCGGTACTCCTCGCGTGACTACCGATACCTGTACAACCTCACCTTCTGCTGTACGTATTCCGATCCGCGAATGCGACAAAATCCCGAGCTGACATCAAGGTGTGCAGACACTCACGATCCAGTCCGTCATTATACCCCCCAATCGGGTTTCACGGGCTCGGAGGAGTGTCTCGTTCAGGCTAAGAGATGGATTCAAACTTGCACCCAGTCGCACAGAAAATGTAACAGCGCTGATAAAGAGGACTGGTATCCGACAAGGCTCCTCGACATTGGAAACCAGGAAGACCCTTCATTGCGTCTTGTCCTGAAATCAGAGGAACGGTTTCAAGGCGGATACGCCTCCCTAAGCCATTGCTGGGGCAAGTTTCAAATTGCTCGCCTGCTCAAATGCAATTTGGGCGCACTTCGCAAGAGCATCGATCCCAAGACGTTATCAGAGACTTTTCAGGAGGCTATTAATGTTACTCGTTTTCTCGGGGTGCGATACATCTGGATCGATTCCCTGTGTATCGTTCAGGATGATGATATGGACTGGATGCAAGAGTCAGCGCAGATCAAGGATGTGTACAGCAGAGCACTCATAAATCTGGCAGCATCAGCGTCGACAGATGGGTCAGGAGGACTTTTTCGAAGCCGGCGTCCAGATCTGCTGCCGGCGTTCACGACTGCCACATCCTGGCCTGGTAAAGAGCACATTTGCGTCTGGAATGATACATGGTCAATGGAAGTCCGAGACGCCCCTCTGAACCAACGCGGCTGGGTGTTACAGGAGCAGCTCTTGTCTCCTCGCATCCTCCACTTTGGCGAGAGCCAGGTATACTGGGGGTGCTCTGAGATGGACGCGTGCGAAATATTTCCGAATGGCCGGCCACATCATGTGGTTTATGAATGGGGGAAGAACCGGGATAGTTTCGCTCCTCACTTGAGGAAGAGTAGTCCAGAGGAACTAACCGACACTGACCGCCATGCCGAGCTCTCATACCGATGGCGATCGTTGGTTGAAACTTACAGTCTCTGCCATCTAAGTTATGAGGACGACAAACTCGTTGCCTTCAGCGGTATTGCCAAATACTACCAATTCGAAGGGAACAATGGTTACCTCGCCGGTCTCTGGCGATCGGACCTGCTGGTGCAGCTTCTTTGGGCTGCCAACCATGAACGTCACTTTATTTCTACTGAAGGTCCCGAGAAACCAAGGCAATATCGTGCGCCGTCATGGTCCTGGGCTGCCGTTAACGGACCAGTCGTTTACTACGTTGCTCGGCGAATCTCGGAAGGCTTAGAGGTGTGGATGGAGATCCTAGAGGCGTCAACAACGGCATTGTATGGAGGCGACCTGTTCATGCAACTGTCAGGTGGATATATCGTCGTTAAAGGCGTACTGTCTACAACCAGTACCACGCTCAAAAGGTCTGGCACACAGTTTGCACTCCAGCAGGAAGAATACCCACCGACGAGGGATGAAAGCCGCCGAGCCTTTAACTTTGGCTACATGGATGTTGCGCATGGTATAGAGACAGTGACAGGCGTGTATTGTTTGCTCGTGACAGCGAACAGCGATCCGACGGACCCAGGCGTGAAGTGGCGAGGTCGATATCTGCTTCTCAAGAAAGCGTGTGACCAACCTCAGGGGTATTATGAAAGAGTCGGTGTTTTGTTTTCCGGAGGCACCCCATTTCGGGATACCGCTCGAGGCTGGAAAGATAGCATTAGCAGTCAGCCGCAGGATTACTTGGAGGGCACGCCCGGAAACATCGTCCTGGTATAGGCTGCCAAAGCGGAGAATCGTATCTGCTCCCTAAACCAAAAAGGAGATCATAGCGGAACTTTAATTTCACGGGGAAAGACGGGGTGCATACTCGCACGGCGGAGGTGGGACTGATGCAGAGTCAATAACGAGACCTGCAACGCCTACAATTCCAATAGAATCGACGGCGTTCCACCATATGTTTTGGACCATACTACAGCAATACCGATTTACATGAATCTATCCTCGGGACGCTTCTCTGTTAACGCGCTACCGCCGCACGAATTTTGGTTGAACGGGTTGATTGTCGCCCGGCGGGGATTTATTACTTGAATGAAGGCAGCCATTTTCAACAAGTAAACGACTGAATGATGCTGCTCGAGAGTCGAGAGTCGCCACACGAGAAGTGCACCCGCTCAAGGACTACTGTGACTCTGGCGTCGGAAGACTGCATGCGCCGCAAGTAAAGATCTCTATCATATTCCAGATTGGCCCTTCCACTGGCATACAACCCCGGCCAAGGTAATGAGACTAAGAAGATAGCCTGGACAGTCGTCCGTAGGACTATTTGGAGGCTAGACTGAGAAACATCGTTCTGATATCGCGCCTCTGATGCCCACCTCAGAACACTTGCAGAGCTGAGTAAAAGGCGTCTGGATTAATGTGCTGTCGTTCGTGTTGAAATGAATGACTTGATAATAGACCATAAATTCATTTGACCACATATTTGAATCCAATAGGCACCCACTGTTGGTGATATACTTTATATCTGGAACATGAACGTGTGAAGGATGGAGGTGAAGTCTGAATCGCAGATCGGCCCCACTCCAATGCACGGACCAGCAAATTTTGACATCTCGCCGAGAAAAAGTTCGACCAGATTTCCTGCAGACACCAGTATTGAATACGCCTATCGCAACTGTTTCAAGCCCTGTTTAGAGTTGCAAACGTGTCCAAGATGGCCATCGATGATGATTTCATCCTGACAATCTCCGATAACGACGAGGACATTCTCGTGGCGGACGAGGAAGAGACCGCGGAGCCTCCAACGGCACCCACCACTTCACGGAAGCGAAAGCACGAAGAAGTTGCCGGGAAAGCGAACGGGACGAAGAATGTGAAGAAGGCGAAGAATAAAGGCTCAAAGAAAACCAATGGAGCGAAAGGCAAACCGCAGCCGGAATCTTCAGATGAGGAAGAGGACGAAAACCAATACTGGGCGGATGGAGGTGAAGATGACGGAGCCATTGACTCGGATTTCGAGTTCCAAGTTGGAGACGGCGGTGTTACAATCGATGATGAGTTTGACGGCTGGGGACTGAGTGCGTCGAAAGCTACAACCGATGCGAGTGTCAAGAAAGGTGTCGACCTTGACCAGATCATCGAGCGGAGAAGACAGGCGAATGGAGAGACCAATGGAGACCCTGAAAACAAAGGCGACGCTATTGGAGATGAGGACGCGTCCCCTGTAAGCGATGGCAGCGACGAAGACAAGGAAGAGTTTGGAGGCTTCAGCGAGGAGGAAGATGTTGACCCAGCCGAGTTTGGCGCCGCACTTTCGGGCGCAGCAAATGGGCATGACGACTCCGAAGACGATGAGGAAGAGGATGAAGCCCTTGATGGAAATTCCGAGGAAGAGTCAGAGGCAGAGCCTATGGCACACCCAGACGATATCTCCGATGCCTCCGATTCCGAACCCGATGCCGAAGAACAGGCCAAGCGGACAGCATTCTTCGCCCCGGAACCAAAGGCTGCAAAGGGTGCTAAAGGGGACAAAGGCAAGAAAGAGTCAAATGGTTTCCAGGCAATGTCACTCTCGCGTCCAGTTCTTCGAGGTGTCGACGCCGTTGGTTTCACTACACCTACCCCCATTCAAGCGAAGACTATCCCCGTCGCGCTGTTGGGCAAGGATATTGTCGGTGGAGCTGTTACGGGTTCCGGAAAAACTGGTGCATTCATCATTCCCATAATCGAGAGACTGTTGTACCGACCGAAGAAGATCCCCACTACGCGAGTAGCGATTCTCATGCCGACTCGAGAGTTGGCAGTACAGTGTTTCACCGTCGCGAAGAAGTTGGCCAGTTTCACCGATATCACGTTTGCGCAAATTATCGGTGGATTTAGCCTCCGAGAGCAAGAAGCTGTCTTGCGTAGTCGGCCGGATGTGGTGATCGCCACGCCGGGTCGTTTTATTGACCACATGCGGAACAGCGCCAGCTTTAATGTAGAAATGTTGGAGATCCTAGTGCTGGATGAAGCCGATCGAATGCTTGAAGACGGATTCGCGGATGAGTTGAATGAGATTCTTACGGAGATTCCGAAAAGCCGCCAGACCATGCTCTTCTCAGCCACGATGACCCAGAGCGTTGATAAGCTGATCCGAGTCGGGATGAACCGTCCGGTTAGACTTCTAGTGGATGCGAAGAAGCAGACGGTCTCCGGACTCGTGCAGGAATTCGTCCGCTTACGACCGGGCAAGGAAGACAAGCGTCTAGCGTACCTCCTGTACATCTGCAGCAACCTCTACACGAACCGCGTCATCATATTCTTCCGTGCCAAGAAGCTCGCCCACCGCGTCCGCATCATCTTCGGTCTCTGCGGGCTCAAAGCCGCCGAGCTACACGGAAGCATGAGTCAAGAGCAGGTAAGCATAGTTTCCCCCGCTCATTTCCCCAACCGATACTAACACCACCAGCGTATCCAAGCCGTCGAGTCCTTCCGCGCCGGAACCGTCTCTTTCCTTCTCGCCACCGACCTCGCCTCCCGTGGTCTCGACATCAAAGGCGTCGAAACCGTCGTCAACTACGAAGCGCCCCAATCGCACGAGATCTACCTCCATCGAGTCGGACGAACGGCTCGTGCCGGCCGTACCGGCCGTTCGTGCACGCTCGCCGCAGAGCCCGATCGCAAGGTCGTGAAGGCGGCGGTCAAGTCGGCACGGGAGCAGGGTGCCAAGATCACGAGCCGGACGATCCCGCAGGACGAGGGGGATGCATGGGCGAAGAAGTTGGAGAAGCTGGAGGAGGAGGTGGAGGAGGTGTTGCAGGAGGAGAAGGAGGAGCGGGCGATGGCACAGGGGGAGCGGGATATGAAGAAGGGGGAGAACTTGATGGAGTTCCAGGAGGAAATTATGAGCCGGCCAAAGCGGACGTGGTTCGAGACGGAGGCGGATAAGAAGAAGGCGAAGGAGGCAGGGCTGAAGGAGTTGAATGGGCCTGGGGAGGAGAAGGGGAAGCGGGTGAAGAAGAAGTTGAGTAATAAGGAGATCAAGAAGGCCGAGGCGAAGGATCAGAGGAAGGGGGAGAAGATGTGGAAGAAGGGGAAGGACGCTGGGCAGGAGAGGGTGGTGAAGACGGGGAAGAGCGCGAGGAGGAAGACGGGAGGAAAACGAAAATAATTCAATTAGCCTTGTTTGGTTGATGCAGTAGTTTTGGATATACCCAGTGGTCTTGATAGACATGAGCTGAATGCGATATCTGCTTGCCTCGATCCATATCGTACATTCCGTGTCTCGAGTTCTCGTGGTAAAGCATGAAGCGTCACCTACCAAGACTCTTACAAAAACACCTGCCGAGAAAAGCCCCGGGTGATCATACAAGACGCCCAATCGAACCCGAATTCAAGCAAAGCTATCCTACCCATGCTAACCAATGCAGGTCTGTCGCATCTCGTGCACAAGCATCAATCCCTTCCAAGACACACGCCAACAGCAGCGCTCAATCCCAGCACTTTGAGCCGACCCTTCACCGCCGGTGCACCACCAAACGCAACCCCATCTTCCCACCCTCGGACGACGTCCTTCAGATCGCGCGGGAACCCTTCCAGCACCACGGTGCCGACAGGGACGAAGGGGCGGTCATCGACCGACACCGCGAGGATGCTGTAGTCGTATGCGAACTGCAGCGCCGCGGTGAACAGATGCGGGGAAAATTTGGACGCGGGGCCGGGGAGGCTGTGAGGATTGTTAGCATATCGAAGGATAGTGATAGACGAGGACGTGCGGCGACGAGAGGAGAGGAGCAACATACACATAAATCTCACACCACCCATCCACCACCCAAACGCTCTCCGCATCCCAATCCCGCACCAAACACGGCTTCAACTCCCTCACCTCCACCTCCCCCCTTCCCACCTCCCCAACCCGAAAACATCTCACCCCCCACCGCTCCGCCAACGGCTTCTGCCGCCAACTCTCTGTCATCCGCGGCAACAGCCGCCGCACCCGTTCCACATCCCCCCGCTCTCTCGCCCACTCGTCAAACACGCTCAGAAACCGCCCGTCCTCCTGGCCCCCTTCCACCTCCACCACCTCCGCCCCAAGATCCATCGCTAAGTCCATCGCAATCAACCGCGCGCATCCTACCTCCTCCGCATGCGTGCCCTGGCCCTTCCAGAGAAACAGGGTTTTCACGGTCGGCGCGTGCACAACGTACGCGAACCCGTTACACAGTTTCCGCACGCTGATCGGCGCCGTCTCGTCGAACGCCACGTGACCGAGATGCCGTCGTGCGCAGAGCACGAATGGGCCTTTCTTCACGCCGACAGCGGGGTCAACGGCACCGTCAAACGAGATGACGACGCCGCCCAGCGCGGCGAACAGCGCGGGCGGCTCGCGGCCCTGGGTGACGACGGTGAGAGGGGTGGCGTCGGCGCCGCCGAGCTGGCGGACGGCGGTGCGGGCGAAGAGTTGGACGTCCTCGGCGGTGGAGGGGGGAATGGCAGCGCCGAGGTGGAGGAAGGCTTCGAGGAGGGTTTTGGGGGAGGAGGGGGTGGTGAACCAGTGGAGGATGAGGGAGATGGAGGTGGAGGAGAGGATGTGGTCTTTGCCGGGGGGAGGGGTAGTGAGTTTGCCGGTGGGGGAGAGGAGGGCGACTTTGGTGTGGTGGGTTCTGTGGGGGGAGGGGGGGAGAGGGTCGGTTTGGAGGAGGGTGAGGGCGTCGATGTCGGGGTTGGTTGGTGGGGAGTGGGGGAGGGTGCCGAAGAAGGTGGTGAGGAGGGTCGAGGCTTCGGCGTGCGCTTTTGATGGGGAGCGTTGCGGTTGTGGGTTTGGAGATGGTTGGGAGGGGGTGGAGCGCGCGGGCGTAATGAGCTCGGTTGATACGGGTGGTTTGTGTGGAGAGGGAGTGCGCGGTGGTGGTGGTCGCATCTCAGGGACCGCTGTTGGTCGTGAGAAGTTCCTCCTGACTGTTGGGCTGAATTGAGGGAGTACTGGTTCGCTACTCTTCGATTTCGTCTCCCTGTCCTCGCTTGCGCGTGACATAGTTGAGTTGAATGGCTGTGCAGGTGATCCATCCACTATACCTTTTGGCTTCTCTGCTTGCGGTTGTATTGGCTTCGGTTTCGACGTCGGAGATGCACTAACCGGTTCAATCTGCGAGGCACGTTTCTCGAACACTCCCACGCGACCCTTCACCGGACTCTGGCGGCCGTTAGGAGGCTGACCGTCGCTCATCGAATGCCCAGGTGCCTTGCCATTGTTCTCAGCAGTGTCGATCTTCGCAGACATGGTCATGATTGGTTTCGGCGAGATAGCGGGTCTATCGACACTTTGCGGCTTCTTAGACTCCACGGGCTTGAACGTCGATGGCGATAAAACCTTTGGCGACGATGCCGGAGGAGTGGCCATTCCGGACGCTATGTTCTTCGCCCGGTCTGCGACCATCGCTCCGATGGAGAAGGAACTTTTTTGCGCGGGGGTGGGGGCAGTGGGCTTGGTGACGCCCCGTGACGCCTGTTCTGGTTCTGCGAATTCGGGCGACTTCGCGAGCTGCTTTGCGGAGCTCGGCGTGTTCGGCATCGCGTCAACATCGGCCTTCTTTAGCGGTTCCTCCTTCGCCGCCTCGGTCTCAGCGCTTGGGGTTGGGTCTTGATTCCCCTTGTCCGTCGCACCCGTCTTCGGCGCCCTCCTCTTCGGCCCTCGTGCCCTCCCCTTCGTCATATGCGTCAACCCCGTCTCCTTCTTCGCTTCAGGTTGTCCACCCGGCCCCGAGTCGCTGCTGGATCCAGGGGCTCTATTTGCGGGCGGCGGGCCGCGAGCTAACATCGCTGCAAGACCAGGATTGAACCGCCCTGCGAGCTTGGATGCCGGCTTCGCAGTCGCCGAAGAGGATGAGTTTATCGCTGATGGGGTCGGCAGAGTCCGTGGTTCAGGAACGGATCGCGACTTGAGGAGAACAGGCATCGATTCTGTTTCCGTGTCGACCTTCGCGGGGACGTCTCTGGAAGCAGGCTTCTCTGTGGCGATTGTAGCAGACTTCGAGGTGATAGCGGGGGGGCGAGCAGGCTTTGAATCTCTCTGCGCCTCCCATGACCGCACCGGGGCTACCGTTGTTACTGGCTTCTCCCACGAGTTCTTACTCCTGATCGACGGCTTCGCCTCCTCCCTATTCTCCTTCTCCCCGCCGGTCTTCTCCTTGCTATCCCTCTTCCACGTCCCTCCACTAACACTCCCACCTCTCCCCAACCCTCGCCCCACCGCCAACGCCTCCGGCGTCTCCTCCCTCTCCGCCCTCTTCTCCTTCTCCGCATTCCGCACACTCCCCTGCTCCTCGACTTTCTGCCGCATCTCGTCCTTCTTCCGCAGAATGTCCTCCTTCAGCTCGTCCTTCCGCTCGCGCGGCTTCGGCCCCCCCGTGACGGCCAGCCCGGATTTTCCGCGCAGGATGTTGTTCCGGAAGGTGTCGGGGGCGACGTAGTTCTTCGTCTCGGTGCGCTTGAGCTTGAAGGCGGCGGATTGGAATTCCGAGAGTTGGGAAGTGGAGGTGGAGGTAGAGGGGGCGCGGGTGTTGCGGGATTTGAGCTGGGAGCGGAAATCGGTCGGGGCGGGACTGTTGGACGAGGGGGGGGGTTTGGGGGAGGTGGAGGGTTTGGGTCGGGTGGGTGGCGGGGTGGAGGAAGTGATTGAGGTTGGTCGGGAGGGAGGGGAGTTGCGCTGGGGAACAGGGGATTCGGGTGACTTTGCGCCGTCATTGGGTAGTTGTATGATCGCAGAGTTGGAAGTCGGTACTGGCTTCGAGGCCGGCACTGGCTTGGACGCCGGCATCGGCTTCGAGGCCGGCACTGGCTTCGAGGCCTGCACTGGCGTCGACGTCACCGAAGCTTTCTGCTGCTTCGCCTTCGCAATCTCCGCCATCCACGCCGGCTGCGCCTCCTCCTCCCTCACCTTCGGCGACTCCTTCCTCTCCAGCGCCGAATCCAGCCAACTCGCCTTCGTCGGACTCCACCGCTTTGACGGGCTCGGCGGCGGGGACCTCTGTTCCTCTGCCTCTGGCACGGTCGTGGAAACCGTCGCTACGGGGGCGCCGTAGCTCGAACTCGGCCGAGAATTGCTCGCCGGCTCCGGAGGAAACCGAATCTCGCTCCGCGATGAGGACGGCGCGTGGCCGAGCGCAGGGCGGCCGGTGGCGGAGGCGGTGGATCCGGTGCGCGCGAGCCCGGGGGTGGCGCTCCAGCGTTTGCTCACGGAGTCGGAGCGCTTCAGCATGGCGGACTGGACGAAGCCGCCGGCGCCTTTGGTGGGCGAGGGTGGGCGGTTGAGAAAGTTGCTGACCGTCTCGGCGGTGGAGGGGGGGGTGAATTTCTGGGCGGAGAGGGTGGGGAGGGGGGAAGCACGCGATGGCCGGTCGAGGATGGATTCTTGGCGGATGGAACCGGCGCGGGAGGGGGAGGGCGAGCGGGAGGGGGGGATCGGGGGGGGAGATGAGGTTCCTGGGTCGATTGGGGCGGTGGGAGATGTGTTGCTGGATGACATTCCAGGTAATCGGAATCGTTCTGAGCCGCTGGTCGCCGTTTTGGTGCGGGTGTGTTCTTCGTTTTCCTGTCCACGGCGAAACGCCGCATTACCAATCCCACGATCCGAAGTCTGCTTGAACCAGGTTGGATCTTTCGAGCCCAGCGACTTTGCAATGTCCTCTCGAGAGATTTCCTTCTCGGGGCTGGACGGTGGAGGCGTCCCTAGCGGAGAGCCACTTGCCGGCCCCGCAGTGGACTCGGTCGCTGCCATGCGCAGTGAGAGCGGTCGTCGTCCATCTCGTGAAGAAGGCCGTTGCTGCCATGAGAGCGTACCGGATCGTGCGAGCGCGACACTGCTCATCCGCTTGATATCTGTATGTCCGTCGCCTGAGGTTTGGGAATAGGAGGAGGATGGCCGTGCTGGGGGAGGCATCTCGCCCGGGCCATTGAGGCGGGCAAGGGCTTCGTCGACGGCCATCTCACGCGTTTCTTGCGGTTGGGTCGCGGGGGTAGGTGCGAGGATCGGCTTGGAGGATTCGGGACTTGCGATTTTGGATTTGATGGATTGAGGGGTCGTTGCTGCGGATGATTTTTCGGGTGAGAGGGATCGTGCACGCTCTAATTCATAAGTTGGCTTGCGTCAGTGAGGTTCTGGTTCAATGGTTCAATATGTTTTGCACAAGGCGGGTTTGAAGACGAAAGTGGGAGGTGATGAGCAAAGTGAAAAGAATCGTGAACTTTGTCGCGTCTAGTTGCGTCCTGGGCGTGTTGCATGGAAAAGTATTCCCCTCTAACACGTATAAACGCCTCCACTCACCTTGTCGTCGAGCCAATCGTTCACTTCGATCCTTTGCAATCTGTTCCTCTAACTTGCTGAACCGCTCTGCGTCTTCCTGGTCCCGCTTCTCACCCAGCTCTCGAATCTTCAGCAGGAAATCGGTCGGGTCCAAGTCGTTGTCCGTCATTGTTTTGGAACCAAGGGAGGTAAACAGACCAACAAGGCGATGTCTGGTACTCGGATCCGGTATCTATGGGAGGACCGGGTGTTGTTGCGTGTGGGAATAGGATAGATGCTTGGATCGGTCCCAATGGAGGTCAGGGGGATTGATGTGGGCTGAAAACAAGGATTTCACCGCCCGGTGGAACAACGGAGATGCGGAGCGATGCTGGTGCATATGGATACTGGACGGTGATGGAGGATGGTCGGATTGCACAACAGCAACACGAACCTTTGTGCAGCAATTTTCTCCACCACTTCCTAGAGATAGTCTAGTGCATACAAGAATCTTACACGTCGTGTATTACCGTCTTACCGTATCCTGTATCACCAGTACTACAAGCATTTGCTGAGTGATGCTCTTCACGATCGCGTGTTGTTGTCGCCTTATTCGCCTGAGGCAACCATTTCCATTGCCGGCGCCACGCAGCACTTAGTCCGTCACGATGATCAAGGCGGAAGAGGGCATGGTGTTTGTCAACTCAGTTCAGGGTCTAGAATCGAAATTATACCCTTTCCCATGTAATCTTGAGAATTGTGCATGATATTTATATTGGGAGCGTTGACACTAGGACTCCCACCCGTAGAGCTCGATGGTCGACCAGCCAGACAAGGAGCGAATTGTAATTACAGCACCAAAGCAGCCGACGAATCAAAGCCCTGGGATTTCAACCTCCGATGTCTCTCTCCTCTGGTTGTTAACGAACAACATACCGAGCCAACTCCTAACTCCCAATTCCTTTCCAGGTCTCTGGTTCCAGTATTGACCTTCTCTTGATCAGAGGGGTTGTTGGTTAATGCCTCTGCACGAGGAGGGACTTGGCATCGGACCCTCTCCGTGGATGGACTTCTGCATCGTGAGGACTGGTAGCGTTGTACAGTCAAGTTGAACGGCAACCACCCTCAACAGCCTGGATGGCTTTCATTATCTGCATTCCTTATGCTTATCGATACATGATTTCAAAGGATCCTAACCGTGCCATGATGAAAGGCCATGCTGTTCATCTTCCCGGCATTCACCTCGAGGACAGGTCAAGGACGAGATCGGGTTACAGACATAGGTATTAGTGAATGGAAGCAAGTGAGGTGAAGAATGTTAATGTGTTATCGAAATTACCTAATTATTAACTGGCCACCTGTACTGTCCTCGCGGATCGCCAAGTTTGGTAGGAGGCCATTCACTCAGTGCCGACATATAAATTATTTCCATCTCCCATAACACGCACAACTTACCTTCCTTCTCTCACATCCTTACATTTCTCTATCTCTAGATTCTGCACCGCATAAATCTGGAACTTTTTCGGTTATTTTATTTCCACTGTCTACTGCATCGTACCTTCCTAGTACCCCTCATTCTTATCGAAGTCCAATTCAGTCGACTCACACACTCAGTGGCCTAAGCATCTCTCGGCGTGTTAAGTAACTCTCAGCACTCCACGGGTGGAGAATTACCCAGCGGGTTGAGAGTCTCTCGGCGTGTTAAGCAACCCTCGTCCATTAACTGCCCTTCACATTGCTATTGATTGCATAGGTACTTTCTGATCTCCCCTTATAGTCTATTATCCATCTGACTTTCTTCGCAAGCACAACAGTGATGTCACCAGTCAGCAAAGGCGAAGGTGGCCCATCCGATCCAGGAGGCAAGACCAGCCGGTCGATCACCCCCTCACCACTCGCCCAGGTCGTGTCTGCGAGTTCGTTGTCTCCGTCTGGATCCACTAGTAAGGAAGATGCGAAGCCTAGGAACACGGCCACCAATACCATTACAGGTTCCACGGAACTTTCTAGTGCACCTCCCAGCACGAACAAGTACATCAGCCGCACCCCAGCCGAGTTTATGGCCTTCCACTGTGGTCAGAAACTGAACTCTCTCAAGATTTCGTCAACTGGGAGTGGTCAATCAAGTGCAGGGGCCCAGAACATGGACGCTTCAACAGGCACTGTGTCAGTGACGCAACAAGCCACACCACCCAGGTCCGCCGCATCTACTGGAGAAATGCCTCCTTCCAAAGGAGCAACGGCTACCATGAACACCAAGAGCATCCAATTTGTGAACGGAGGGCAGCTCAAATCTGTGGAAATTGTGAATGTCCCATGGGATAACAAGTCAGCTATTGCGGGGGAAACGACCAAGAGGTACGTCTTTCACGTGATCCCATTCTTTTGAAATCACATTTCACTACCATGAGTCACTTCTAACATTCACATAGCCTCCCATCCAGCCAGAACACCAAGAAGTCCAATGACAGGCCTGTCAATCCTTGGGCGAAGACCGGTTACTTTTTCTCGCAGCCGGTAGCACTTGACTCCGCGGCCCGTTCACCATCTGGTAATCGATCGCCAAACGGATCTAGCCCGGGTAAATTCATCATGGCCAGACTCGATCCAAAACTCAAGGATGCCTTGAGCGAAGAGACTTGGACGGGCAATGCTCCTAAGTTCCACGTCGAGAGACAGACCCCGTACCACAATGAGAATGGCAAGAAGCGAGACAGTCGCTTTGCCAAGGTTCCGGCCCACAACCCGCGGCTGGAGAAACTTAAAGAGCTGGGGAAGCTGAGAAGCGATCGGGACTACCCGCGTCATCCAACCGATGAAGAGATACTCGAGGCGGAACGGAATCGCACGCCTTCCGAAATTGCCTTTGAAGAGGAGCGGGGCATTAGACGGGAACAGATTATCTATGAGGCGCCCAGTCAGCCTTGGACTGGTGAATTTGGGGGCTTCGAGCCATTCCCCGTCGTGTCGGACTATCGAATGGAGGGTCGGAAACTCATCCTACCTACCCAATGGGAAACCCGACCCGGATTCTCTGGCTGTGTTGATGCTGAGATCATGGACTGGCGGAAGGTCGTTGCAGAAGTGTGCGGCGTGTTCGTGGTCCCAATCCATCAAAAGGGTTTCCATGGAGAGGTCAATCTTGAGGTTGCATGTAACCTTTGGGTTCCCAAGGACATTGATGGCATGGACCCCACGGAATTTTGGTCCTGTCATGTAGTCAGCGAATTGGCCGCACAGTGCGATGTCGCAAAGACAGATCGCCCATGGTGGGAACTCTTGATCGACAGCAGGACCCTCCACGTGATGCGTCCTTGGATCCAGCCAGAAACCGTACTCGATCCACTGGATTCCAAGTATGCGGCTGCACGGGCGGAAGAGAACACGTCGGAAGGCGCGATCATGCATGCACTCAAGCTTGAAGCAGAACGACAACAGGCCAAGGATGCTAAGATGGCCAAGAAGGCAGAAGAAGCGAAACGGATCCGTGAGGAAGTGGCACGAATCCCCGAACGGCCCCCGAACCCAAACACACCGAAGGCCAATATCTACATTCGTCCTGCTCTCGTCACCGACCTTGTCCAAGCAGCCGAGATCTATAAACACTATGCAAAGAACACAGTCCACGCTCCCGATCTCGATATGACCCCAGCGAGAATGCGGGATATCTTCGACGATGTCGCCCAATGTGGCTTGCCTTTCTTCGTCGCACTTCTCCGCGGGAAGTCCAAGAGTCAGCGTGCCAATCGCAACCGTGATCCCAACTACGCCGAGAAGTTAGTCGGATTCTGCTTCGGGCAGAGCCATTCTACTGGAACCACGGTCTATGGTATCACAGCTGATGTACAGATCTACGTGGAGCCCAAGTGGCTTCAAAAAGGCATCTCAAATTGCCTGATGGACCGAATGCTATGGGGCCTTGATAAGTCCTACCTCCCGCGCGATGGATACCTGTGGGAACACAACCACGATACCGGCGAATGGACCATGCCCGGTGGCAACGTCGAAGTTACCAACGTCGTGGTGAAGGTTCTCTATGAGAGTGATTATAAGACCAACCAGGGAGCCGATATCTGGGCCAAAGGCATTGAGCACGTTCCCGAGGACATCCCGGTTGCGGAGAAGATCCGCAAGAAGGTCCTCGCGTCATGGCTCCTCAAGTGGGGTTTCAAGAAGGTTGGCGAGACCGACGGCATCGGGTCCAAGAAATTCGGCGGTAAGGTCCATGAGGTGGGCGAGTCCGTCTATCGTCTCCGCACTGGGGAATCGAAGTGGCGTTGATGGCGAGACGCGATCGGATTGCAGTGCGGGATTCGATCGACGACATGGCGAGACGCACGGGTTCAAGAGAAGAGACAGATACATGATGTTAAACAGGCGATGATTGCGGATACGAATGGTGCGATGCGATACGGTTTCGGTTTCGGTTCTGGTTTTAGTTCGATTGCGGGTGTTTTGTTTTCTCGGTTTTCCTTCCATTGTCGGCCAGTACGCGCTCAATACACGGAAATCCTTCACTTATCGGACATTCTTCTCAAGGTCATGTGTGGCCTCTGATTACAGGATAGAGATGGTGCTTTTCAGCACTACTCGGTCGCAAATTCACGGTTCACGATTCACGGTTCTCATTCCCCTTCCATTCAATCACCAATCAAAATGACCGGTCGGGTGCTTTTCAGCACTAGTCGGTTGCAAGCTTTCACGGTTCAAAGTTTTCATTCCCTTTCCATTCAATCACCACTCACAATAACGGGCCATGCATGTGCTGAAGGTCTTTTATGATGACCTTGAGGCACTATCACTCCAACAAGGTATTTGCGGTTCGATCCTTTCCTATTTCCATTTGTTTCCTTGTGTTCTCTGCTTCTCAACCGATTTCCCCCCTTTCTTAACAAAATAAAACAAAACAAAAAGCGATGTGTGCTTTCCGTGGTCGGTCGCTTCCAACGATCGTTCAAAATCATAGAGCACTTCATCTGGTGCGTCTGGGTTTCATGAGAAGGGTTCTCTCTGGGTTTCGATCTTCCTTCACAAAAAACGATACCTCCCAAGGATCCGTCCTCGGTCGATTCCAAAGATCGTTCAAATCCACGGATTACTTCATCATGGTTTATCATGGTTCATCGAGATCATTGCAGATTTCATGGGATGCGTTGTGATATGGGTTTTGATCTTTCTCTCCACTCATACAAAACTAGAAAACATTTGGAAAACGGAAAACTACCAAAAAAAGATCGAGATTCAATCTCAAATAAAAATGGTTTCATGGGTATCATGGGTTAGCAGTCTTAGAAGACCATCGATACATAGAACATGGGAATATCAGAGAATTGTGTATAAATCTGCTCGTACATCTCGTCTATATGTGCTTGCTGAGTGACGATAATTCATTAGGAACGTGACTACCGGAATTTCCTAGACTTTCCATGGGGTATGTCATACAGAGCTTCATCTACTCTTCTTACATTTTTAGGTGATCCAATAAACACTGGACATTCGCCTTCGATCAGCTCTGCTTCCCATATCCCATTCGTTTCAACTTTCCAAACTCCCAACGGACAACCAGGGCACGCTCAGCGACCACCGGAAACAAGCCTACACCACGGCCGACATCCACATGCATCCACACCTCATCCGCCCAGCCCAGCACCCACCTCAATCCCCCTCTCCACTGCCACCCGCACCCGCTCCCTCGCCACCTGGTTCCCACACTCCACCTCCAAATTCTCAAGCCACACCTTCGCCGCGTGTCCGCCGACCGTGATCTCGATGCCCGGCACGGGGATGCCAAGCGCATGGAGCCGTTGGAGCTCGTGTTTCTCCTCCGGGGAAATGGAGAGGGGGTCAGTGTCGGGGGATGGGGGGGGTTTGGAGGGTGGGGTTTCGGTGGAGGGGGAGGGGGGGAGGCGGGGACGGGCGATCGGGGTGATTGCGGAGGAACCGAATTGGGATTCGAGGAGGAGGAGAAGGCGGGAGAGGCGGGTGGAGGAGGAGGTCGGTGTAGATGGTTGGGATGTCGAGGTCGGCGCGTGGGAATGGGAATGGGCCTGAGAGGAGTCTGTAGATATGTTAGCGTAGATTCGGATGCTTGAAACCTAGAAAAGCCACGACAAAACTAGCCTAGAATGGTGGACGATGGGATTGTTCGTGCAAGAGAAACTTACGCTTCACCGCGGCTGGGCTACTCTCCACCGTCAACAACACCCCCACAACTGCATCCGCGATCCCATCATTGACCATATTCCCCTCCCACTCCACAACCACCTTCCCTTGCGGCCCACCACACTCCACCCGCACGCAATCCATCACTTCAAACACCGTCGTGCGCCCGACCTCCTCATCCGCGACCTCCATCGCCCCATTCCCATGAGCATCCTGCTCCTTCTTCTTCTCCGCCGCAAAGTCCGGCGTAACGATCTTGATCCCACCAAACGTCCCCTCCAGCGCCCAACGAATCAGCTCCACGCCCGCTGTCGGCAGTGCCATCTGCTGGCGGCAGGTGATCTGCGTCGTCGTGAGACCGGCGTATTCGCGGAGGTCCTCCGGAGCCATCAAGCTCATTTTGAAGTCACTCTGGACCAACACCCCTGTGATCAACTGCGGCTGCGTTTGCTCCTCCGGCGCGACGTCTTTCATTTCTTCGTCCCCGGAGACGTCTTGCGGTCGGACAGTGATGGGTTGCGGCGCGGTGATCTGCGCGAGCTTGCCGACGACTTTGGCGAGCTTCTCGGTTTTGAAGGGGATGCGGAGGGCCTCGCAGTTGGGTGGGGAGAAGACTTTGATGGGGTTCTTGCGCTTGGAGTTGAGGCCGAGGAGCTTGGATTTGAAGCGTGTCATTTGGGATTTTTCGCCGTGGACCAGGATCTATTACGTAGTTAGCTTCGTGAGACTCTCTGTGACTGCATTGTTCATGACTTGGACTTACGACGACAGACGGGTTGACCTCCTCTACGAACTCGCGGTTCTCGGCGCCATCAACGTGGGCCGCGAACGCAAATTCGTTGACGGTACAGCGCCGTGGAATCTGGACCTGATCATGCTGTCCAGGCACCTTTCCTCTGCTCGCCGTCGCTGCGCCTCTCGTCATAATCGCGGGAATGAACTCCGGTTCGGTCATGATGATCTTTGCCATGGTCCCTTCAACACTGTAGCCGGTAATGACCACCCCATTCCTCTGATCCGGGGCCCACCGCTCCAGCAATTCTCGCGACACCCCACTCTGCATCATACCAGGGCTTGCCAACATCACGCAGCTCCCAATATCGTCGAAGCGTTCTAGGCTCTTGAGACTTCGGATGTATCGGAAATCCCATGGGCCGGCTTTGGACACCTCGCCTGTCGATTCGGCTTCCGCCATGCGTTCGCGGAAGAGCCGCTTGATGTTGTCGTTCATGGCGCTGATGTACGTTTGGTAGACGACCATGCATTTCCTCGCGAGGTTGCTGGCATAGTATATTGGGACCTTTTGGTACTCTGGATGCTTCCCCCAATACTCATCGAGGATGAGGAGCAGTTCTTGGGCGCGTCCCAAGGCAAATACCGGAAGGAGCGCTCGTCCTCCTCGGTTTAGGATGCCGGTGATGGTCTTCATGAGCATGTTCTCCCTCTCCACTCGCGGGACGTGGGTGGCAACACCGTATGTGCTCTCCGTGATTAATACGTCGACCTTGACGTTTTCTGGCGCTCTAGCGGAGATGAGATGTCGGTCCTCTTCCCGGGAGTAGTCGCCAGTGAATAGAATCTTGAGGCCGGCAATCTCGATGAGAAACATTGCAGCGCCCAAAACGTGCCCGGCCGGATAGGGGGTTATTCGAATCGAGGAAATAGTGTGTGTGGTGTAGTAATCGATGGCTTCGATCTGGGGGAAGGTAGAGAGGTGGTCGGCTTCGGTATAGAGTTGGATCTTCTGCTCGGCGGAGGACGAGACATTCCTAGATGGTTGTTAGGTATGCAATATCCACACCGGAGGTGTACCCTACCCAACGCGAACGCTGTCTTGTATGAGCCATTTGTAGATGGCTTTGGTGGGATGGGTCATGAAGACCCGACCTTTGAAGTTCGTCTTCGCAAGAACATAAGGGAGGGAAGCTGCATGGTCTATATGGAAGCTGGCAAGCGTCAGTCCTACTCCCCAGTGAGACGAAATATAGCAGTACGGCGAGGCTATCGGCATTCGACGAGACGTCACAGCATGGTAGCCATTAAAATGAACATGGTGCTTTCATTGTTTCTCATATACATGAAGCTGCTGTGTGGAATACATGAAACGGCTCCTGAATATCATGATCGTATTGCTGGAAGCAGAGGAAAAAGATGAAATGTAAGGATATGAGTTGACAGTGAACAAAATCCGGACGCCCTTGCCAAATGCCGATGCCGTTCACCTCTAGTGCTCTAAACTTACTGGCTTATGAGTAGCACGTCAACTGTGCTCAAGTCATATTCGTCGTAGAAGGGGAGGGAAGAGATCCCTTCGTATGCGGGCGAAGTACCAGCATCCAACTTGAGGTATATCAGCGAACGAACCTTAGAATCATACACGGACGAGCTTACCATAACAGTCTTGCCTTTGTACCTGATGATGTGACATGATCTTCCCACTTCATTGCATCCTCCGAGACCGAAGAACTCCAACTCATCAGCAGGGTCGACATCGTCATCTTCTGGAGAGAGTTTCCGTTTCGACGCCATCTTCAAATGCGACTCCTCATCCCAGTGATACGTTATCAGAAGAGTTGGAGAAGGAAGATTAGTACAAGGTGAGCAGCTTTGCTTCCTCTATTGAATCCACATGAGGGTTGAGAGCAAGGATGGAATTAAGGAATGAATTGAAGAGGGTTAACTTGCATTCATCGGCGCAATGTTTGGATTGGAATATCTCAACGGATCGCGAAAGTTGATAGTCACATGATCGCAACACGTGAGCTGAAGGCCCGTGCGGGATGGGGACGCGCCACAGCTCTCCATCTTTCCTTCTCCTCACTCTATCACATCACAATCATCGCGACATTCAGCCCTGTGCCAGTCCTCCAACAACCGTGAGCATCTCCGGAAGGGTTTCAAATACATGTATTGAAACCATAGCATGCCTCACTCTTGGTAAAGGAGAGAACAGTCTTCCGCCGTCCGGCGCTGCTGAGCAGCAACAACCTTCCAACCCGCCTCCACCTCCATCCACCTCGGACATCCCATCGTCATCTGCTACGAGCTCCTCCGCAGGAGATAACGACTCCGGATCTCACTCACAGCGGCCGACCCCATACGCGTCTCCTTACGCGTCTCCTTGAACATCCCCTTGGTTCTCCTCAAGCAGCCCTTGTCCCCTCACCCCAGCGCAATTCGACGACCAATTCGACGACCGGCGGCAAGCTACTTCAAACATGATGGCTACTTCTATGATGTCCCCCGGCTCCATGCCTCCGCCTAACTCCGTGGGCCCTCCGAACCACATGCCCCCGCCGAATTCCATGCCTCCACCAGGCTCTATGCCACCCCCGCAACGACCAGCCGAGAAGACCGAGAAAGAGAAGCGATCGGCGACCGATATCAATGACCTCAGCGACATCGTCACGGCAGCGGGTGTTGACATCAGGGCCGAAGAGGCCGCCTTGGCACAGACGTATCGCAGCGCATCGGATTTGGCCTCGCAACAAATAAATGGCTCGTTCGTCTCCAATTCTCAGTCCACGGCCAGCTTCTCGCCAAACCAGAGCTTCGGGTATCCACAAGGCAGCTTTACTAGTTATCCACCATTTCCAGCATCTGGAGCTGCCAGCCAGTCCCCGGTTGCGCCGAAGACGGTTGAAGAGGAGCTCTTTGAGAAGCACAAGAAGGCGGCGCGGGATCATGCCGAGCGGAAACAGTTTCACCTCAACAACCCCTTCTTAAGTACCAACTGCTTGCGCCAGAAGCTGGACAAACACACTCGGAGCAACGGGGTTCGGCTGAATGTGGATGGTCTTTACGACCAATCTCCTCAGACGCCACAAGGGGTCAACGCGATGCGGATGACTGGAAGGGACGGCATGGGATTCGTGGCGGCGAAGGCGAGCTCGGTCGTTGAACACAATGCCGCGTTTGCGGACGTTCTCGCGCTTGTTTCACTGGCGGCGAACGAGCGATTACGTGGTCTGGTGGAAGATGCATATGCTCTTTCACGTGGACGACGAGTCGGGGCAGACGGGGTCGTACCCCCAGACTTTCAGGACCTGGCGACTGGGACGGGAGATCCGAAACCGATTTCTGCCGTGCCACAGTCCATTACCAACTCGCCATGGGACATGCCACCAGACAGTGCCGTGTCCCCCATGACGGTTCCACAAAAGGGTCAGCGCGTTATGCCCAAATTATTGTCGCCATCTCGCTAATATCGTGAATTCAGACCCCCTAGATGCCTCCAACCGCCTTCCTACACCTCCGACTGAGCCTCCGTCAACACCCGTATCCACCCAATCCTATCCCCCAACCCTAGCCATCACACTCGACAGCATGTACGACCGCGATCTCGCCTATGAACAAGCACGCGTCGAAACGCGTCGGAAGCGCCGCAAACTCGCCGCCGAGACCGCCGCCTCGCAATCCGTTTCCGCCGCCGAGTCACCGGCCCCCGGCACCCCCTCATCGGCCGGCGGTCCCATCGACGGCAAAGCACCCGACCTGATCCCTCCCATGAAGATGACCAAGAAAGAGCGCGAGAAGCTGGCGAAGTCGTCCGCGACCGAAGAGGTGCAGCACCGCGCCGCGAACACGACGGCCTCGATGGCGCTGGGCGGGCTCGGAAAGAAGAAATACAGCTGGATGACATCCGGGACGCCGGTCACGAAACCGCTACCGAACATGCGGGTGAATACTTCACTGTCGGGGAGCAAAAGCACGGGAGCGGCGGGTGGTGGGGCGCAGGGGCCGCCGCCAGTCGATCGGTTGCTGCAGGCGGTGCATCAGAAGAAGCTGGGGGAGTGGAAGGAGGACAGCGAGAAGGGGCGGGGCATTCAGTTGCGGGATTGGATCGCGGCGTTAGAAATGGACGGGCGGGAGAAGAAGGGAATGGTGAGGGCGGCGGTGAAGCGGAACTTCGATAAGCTCGAAGAACAGGATAATGGGCCGCGGAAGTAATTGGGGGATTGGTTCGGTTGGGACGGACCGCGACATTGCATGCATAGTTCAGACACGCGATCCACTACCGGCGTTTTATGGGAGCAGATCGACGGCATTCACGTCGCGCTCTTGATGGATATGCATATTCGGCGCTTTGGGCAGGATTCGCGCTGATTGCTTCGCCTGCTCGACGAACGGGCAGGCGGATTGAAAAACATTAGGCGGCTAGTCATCCCCGCTAGAGATGAAAAATGGCCTCGAACACTGCTCGAGAGCAGTCGAACGAGGGGGATATTTCATTCCGCACTGTACACTTAGCTCCAGGCGTTTTGAAATGAAGAACGTTGAAGAAGTTGCATATCACATTGCTATCTTACATCCCAAGAGTGATATATCTCGATGCCCATGTCCCACAAGACGCCGGAGACCCATGCAAACGCTCAAGCCATCAATCCGCTTCTACAGTTCATCATGCGTTTTCTCCGTCGCGCTCTCCTCCGGCTTCTTCTCCGCCGTAGCCTTAGCCGTACTCGTACTCTTCCCCTTCTTCCCCTTCGCCTTACTCGTCTTCTTTCCCTTCTTTCCCCCACCACCCTTCTTCTTCCCCCCAAAGTTCGCCATCTTCCGCCGCAACATCGTCATCAGCTCTTCCTGCAGGTGCCGGGTCTTCTCCTCCAGCTCGGACGTCAGCAGCACCGGGTCGTCCGTGGCGGATAGCGTCTCCTGCAGCGCGAGCTTCTCGTTTAGCCAGGTTTTGATCTCGTTGTGCGCTTTTTGCAGCGAGCTGATGTCTTCGGGGGTGTAGGGCATGACGGGTTCGGTCGGCTCGGGTTCGGATGGCGGGGTGGTCGTGGTGGACCATTCCGCGGCGCTGAGGTCGTCGAGGTCATCGAGGTCGTCGGATTGGGAAGAAGAGGCGGGCGCGGTTGTCTCCGTATCCGCAGATGACGAGGATAGCGCAGATGAGAGTAGCTCGGACGCCGCCGAAGCCGCTTCTTCCGCGGACTTCGACGCCGCGGCCACGGCGCTGGCGACCTCCTCGTCCATCCGCTCGATCATCGTCTGCGTCTGCTCCAGCGCGTCTTGCAGCGCCCGGACCTTCATCGGCCGCTCGGTGACCTCCAAGATGCGCTTCTTGATCGGATCGACCAGTGCGTTCAGCTCGTCGAGGCGCGCTTTGATGACGTCGGATACGGCGTCCGCGCCATCGCCGTAGAGCCACTCAGAGACGGTGGAGAGGAGGGAAGAGATCTGCTCGCGGATGGCGGAGGTGGACGCGGCGATGAAGGGGGGTTCGGTGAGGAGGTCGCGGGTGCGGTAGGTGGCGGCTTCGAGGGTGTTGAGGAGTTCGGAGCGGAGGAAGCGGTCGCGGTCGGAGCGGTCGAAGGCTCGGAGGCTGGAGTGCGGTTAGAAGATAGGTTTGATTTTGTGGTAGACGGGAGACTTACCGGGAGTGGATACGGTCCATCTCCTCTTTGGAGAAGGATCGGATACCGGCTGGCGTGGTTGTGAAGTCAATGTTGATCGAGACAGTTTTCTGCTTAGTACCCTGGGGTTTCGCGGCAGCAGAAGGAGACGCCGAAGCCGAGGATGAAGATACAGATGACGAGGACGTCTCTGGCTCTGAAGCACTCGATGTAGATGACGATGGCTCAGTTTCCTCCTCCAGGACTTCTTGGTCCCCATCCTTCTTCTTCCCGAATCCGAAAAGATCCTTGACACCCTCCATGAGATTACCTTTCTTTGTATCATCAACTTCGCAGCTGACGGACCCGGAGACAACCGTTGGAATTCCATGATCGGAATCAATGCGGACCTTGAACGCGGTGGTGATGTTCTCCGTCGCGCAGCCATACTTGCTGACCAGCTCGGCTACAGACGCGGTCAAGTTGTTCGTCTGAACTGTGCTGACCGTTCGATCAACCACCGCTGATCCATCGGTCGTTGGCACCTGCTGGAACAGCGAGAAAGAGAAGTCGGTTTGCAGCTTCAGCGGCACCTGTTTCGCAAATCCCGCCAAAGAAGTCGGTGTGAACAGCTTCTGCTGCCTCTCTTTCCCATCGTTCCACTTCAGCCCCGCGGCATAAAACGCCAGGTCACTATCCCGGATCTCCTTGACGCGGAATGAAGGACTGAGTTGAGCGCCCTTAAACGTAGCGCCCAGTACAGCGGCTTCATCGGCGTTGACATTGCCTCGGAGCTTCGATGCGCCTCCTGCGAGCGACTCGAGACGCTTTTGCACGAACGGTGTGCGCGTGGCGCCGCCATGGAGGATGATCGAGTCGATATCGTCCATCGTCAATTTGGCGGCTTCCAGCGCTTGCTTGGCAGGTCCGTCCAGACGCTGAGCGAACTCGGACGCGAGCTTCTCGAACTCTGAGCGCGAAATCTTGTATTTGAAGTCGACGTTCCCATACAGCTCCTCAAAGCTGGCAGCAGTATCAGAGTTGGCGCTCAGGACTTGTCGATGTCGCTCCGCATCTTTCCAGAGCTTAGCCATGGCGCGTCCGTGGGCTTTGACGTCGGAGGCCTGAACACCGAGCTTCTTGCCTTCTGAGGACTGCAGAAACTTGTTGACCATGTCATCGACGACCAGCGTGTTGAGCGCATCACCGCCGAGAGACTTATCCCAACCAGCTCCCATGACTTGGACTTCTTGAACGGTCTTGTTAAAGCGACCGATATCCTTAACAGTGCGTCCCTGGAACTTCAAAATCGTCGCGGTCGTGTGACCGGCACCCATGTCGTAGACCATATTGTATTCCGGCTTTCCACCCTCATTGACCGTAGGGAATTCTCGTGTCATGGCGTAGTTCATTCCAACCGCCAGCCCATCAGATGTCAGCGCCATCACATCCAGGCCGGCCAACTCAGCCGCCAACTCCACCGCCCTCTTCTCATCCGCAGTGTAAAATGGCGGCACCGTAATAACCACACTGTCGATCCGATGCTGGTCCCCTGCCATATTCTGCCCATTCTCCTTGACATTCATTAGCTCCATGGCCAATAGCTCCTCGACCGAGAATGCTTCCGCTCCCTCGACAAAGCTCTTGCTCTTGAATCCCACCGTCCCTCGTCCCTCCATAGCTTCCAGCACCAACGCCGGGTACCGACCCTTATATGTCTCCACGACGCTCGCCAGCCCCGCATCATCATGTATCGGGATCCCCAGGAGCTGTTTCAAGTTCGGATATACATCATGGGGAAACCTCCCCGCGAGGGACAACGCATCGCCGCCATACAAACGTTCGGGAAAGGATCCTTCGGTGGGAACGGTACCTCGAGCCGGCTTGAAAGCGATCGCGGAGGCTTCTTTTCGTTTCGAGTCTTTGCTGAGGACAATGTCGAGGGGTATTCCGGGTTTCACTAGAGCGGCCTTGATATATTCCGTTCCCAGGTCAATTCCGAGGACTGCGGAAACGGCGAACACGGACTGAGTGAAGAAGAGAATGGCGCATAATATAGCCCCTAAGGAAGGTAATATCGATCTGCGAGCCATGGTGAATGTGTAAAGGCGAATGTGTAAAGGTAGTGTGGGGGGTATGGCTATGAAGTATAAGGGAGCTCGACTAGCATCAAAGGAGTACGAGGATGCGCTATGCTCTATTGACAGACACGGAATGGAAGAAACAAGTCTGGCATGATCCAATGGGTATTCTGACCAACGGTCTTGACAGCCTTGGGAGCAATTGGTAAAATAGTCGAGGGTATGGCGGGTATTTGAAGCCGGGAGTGTTGAACAAGTGGCCTTACACGTGGATGGGAACTTTTGAGACGGTGAGGTCAGTGGTGTGCCTTACTGCCTTGTGCCTTGTGCCCCCCGGCACGGGAGGAAGAAATTGAGTTACCCTGCTTGGCATTCCCTCAAGCACAGCTCCCACGACCTTAACCAGAACGTGGCGGAGGATTCACTAAAACAGACCTCTAGTAGTCGCCTAGTTAGGAAAATAGTATACTTTTTGATATTATGCTGTTTTTGAGCGAATTGGGCTGCCTATGATAGTGATAGTGGTAGTGATGGTTAGGAGAATGCCAAGACACGTAACTCAATTTCTTCCCCTGGAGGTGACCTTTCCAGTTCTGCCTTGTTCCCTTATGGACACGGCAGCGGGGCCTTGGCGTTCTAAAAGAACCCAGGTGGGTCCAGGCAGGAGACTTGAGCGAGTTTGAGTGTACTCCAGTCTTACGTAATCGAGTCGCCCGGCTCTACTCACTACTCAGACGTCTCAGACTCATCAGAGTCTGTCCGAGTCTCCGACACTCGCTACTCACACTCGTCTATAAGAACCTTGGTGAGTGTACCTGACCTGTAATTGCGCCAACCAAATGAAGTTCCAACTTTCCTTCCCGCTTATGTATAAACAGAGATTTCGTGGTAGTGAAGATGATGAGAAGGACGATAATCCATATTATACTACTTATCTACATAGCCTCCATAAACGCCTGATGATAGATAATCCTCTCGAACTCCATATCACTGATAATCCCTTGCTTCAACCAATCCTGTAAGCAAATCAGTCTGTTCAACGTTTTTCCCTCCATCCGTGACCTTTCCGTATCAAGGAGTCTCCCACAAGCGGACCAAATCCGCTCCATATCAGCGGCTGAGGAAGGAGACGCGAAGAGGTCCAGAGCGATCTGGTATAGAGCGGGAAACCGCGTGCGATTAGCTACCCACCACGTAATAGGCGTATCAGTTTCCTCAGGGGGGTCTCGTAGATAGTCGGAGACCTTATCGGGCGTGGAGATATTACGTGGTTCAAAATGAGGCGCGAGGGCCGCCTGGAAGGCCTTGTAGACCCTTTGGCGATCACCAGCAGTGGTCTCCTTCGAGGCCTTCGGTGCATTCTCTGCACCCGAATTGTTATCCCGTATCTTGGCCACGTCCTCGCGGAGTCTGCGTAGGAGCGCAACAGTCTTGTTGCTACTAGCTTCGGATTCGTCCAACCACGCCTTTTTGTATTTTGGGTGGAGGAGAAGGGCGAGTCTGTACGCAGGAATATCCTCCATCTTAGACCGGTATTCCCCCGCCTTAACCAGGGCCGCTTGTATGGCACTTAGGAGCTCCTGGAGCTCCTGATTCCGTGAAAAATCCGCGAGGAAATCCTCCAGAGCCCGAATAATCATGAGAAGCAATGGATACGCCTCCCAAAGGGCTCCTTTAGCACCATGGCCCGCATTCCCTTCCAGGATCCAGGTCGCATGCTTCATTGGTTCGTACAACTCGATGAGCTTCTCAAGGATACGCCAATCGTCGACGGTAAGACCCTGAAGGTGCTGATACCGCTCGCAGTATTGATCAACAGCGGCACGCAGCTTAATGGCTCGCTGGATCGAATCGTACCGCGAGTTCCACAGTGTGGCGTTCTCACGTACGATTCTGAGGGGCCGACCAGTCTTAATGGACTTTTCGTTGCCCGTCATATTCTCAATAATATCAGTCTGTATCGCAAGGAACTCTTTCTCCTGTTTGGGACTCTTTTTGATATGACCAATGATAGCTTTAAGCTTGGCAATGGGTTCTATATCGGTATTGGTAGGGAACCCAGAATCGAAATCCGCGTAGCCTTCAGCCCCACCAGGTCGTATAGTATCAAGCCCATTGTCATTGTTGGCTTCGGTATCAGACGAGCGGTTCCTGGAAAGCTGCTGGCAAACTAAATTCACGATGTGGGTACTACAGCGTAAACACCTTCCCGACAAAGTGAGATTTAGGAGTTTCCCAAGCTCTTCAACCGCGGTAGAGTTGTTTTCCGCATTATTAGACAATAGGAACGCAATCCTTGTCTGCATCTCGAACGTTTGGACAACCTTCGTAAGGAGCTGTGCAATATTGTCGCCGGTATGGGCACCTTCGATCTCCTCTAGCTGTAGGAGGATATTTTGTTGACGCGGTATTCCTTCCCCGGAGATGAAATGCGCCTCGACCCCAAGGAAAGAAAGGTCGTTCCCAGAGGTCCAGATGTCAAAAGACAGTGAAACATTGCTAAGACTCCGCGAGATCTTATGAGAAATGAGACAACGACATTCCTTGTATGCGTGATCAATTCTTTTGCGCACAGACTTATGGTTGCGTACTCCCATCTCAACCTTTCCACCACTTAAAGACTCCATCAGCGCGTTGAAGCTGTTTGACGAAGCCTGACGAAAAGGCACTCCATCAACCACTAGCCATTTCAGATAGGCTGTACGGGCGTTGAGGAAGGACCTCTGACGGTATCCTGTATAATCCTCCCACGATTCTGGATGACCTGGAGGGATAATCTTCGATCCATGCCTGAGAAAACCGTGATCGTTAATGAGATGTCGACGGGCATTAGAAGTAGCTGATATCGAATACATCTTGATATCGTTGATCGATTTCACTTGAAACCAGCATTTACGACAGACCCAGTACGGTATCTCTTCCTCTGTGTCGCCCGTTTTCCGTACTGTAAACCCCCAGTACCATATGGAGCTTGTTCGGTGTTTCTTCCGCATCGCTTGATGCGTTGGAGGAACGTCAACCGCATGCAGACCGTATTTGTCGAGCTGATCTCGCAGGGGGACAAAATCTAGCAATTGGTCTGTTTCCATGGTATACGGGGTCTCCGACGCCGGGGTCGAGGAGTACGAGTCTGTATACGATGCCATATTGATGTTATCCATGATCAGAATCTCGTTATTTTGAAATCTCACGGACTTTTGGTGAAACCGGTCCAAGACACAGACTTGAATTTCGGTGTTGAGCCACTATACATTTGTGACATGAGCAATGAGCATCGAATTTCGACATGAAGCCGTCATTCCTATGTAATTCATACGGTTTTATAGCCATAACGAGCAAATCTGAGGTCCAAGTCGAGCAAGATTGGTAGACATGTATGGAAGAGGATTAGCGGGAGACTCACGACCCACCTGACTTAAAACAAGTCTTGAGCGAGTATATAGGTAAACTAAGTGCGTGGCTCAATTCAGGAGAGAAAGATTTCTCTTGGATGAAAGTTTACAAGAAAAGGAAAGCTTTTGGGTATCTAAAAGATTCTGGAGGACTAAAATAGCTTCATTTAGAAATGAAAATGTGGTTGTGCATATCCTCCGGCATTCCTCGTCCTCATAGACGCCCTACACAAAGAAGTACCAGAGAGACGCTCGACTTGCACGTTTTAGAACAGCAATTATTAGTGCCAAACACGCTGAAATGAAAGACAAACAGTGGAGCTGGATGACTTGTACTGGAACAGGGTTTGAATGGAAATGTAGTAAAACCTCAGTATCCAGACCGCAATTTTTTCCGTCCACGGGAAGCTTCACAGATAATTCATCCCCAGTCCAGGCGTATATCCAATTCAGTCATACCGAATGTGCTCTGTGCTCTTGAGTAGCAACCATTACGTCAGATGCCCGCGTGAGTCCTGTTAAACCATGCCCATTACCATGACTCATAGGCTCAAACATTCTTCACTCCTATCTTACCCCATATCCCACAATTCTCCCTCAAAACCTTCCCATTTACCCTAGCAGGATGCGAAACCCCCTACGCCACAATCCTCCCCCTCTCCAACCACCACCCCACCACTGTCATCGACAACAATACTGTATCCAACATCGGCTGCGGCGCCTCACTCATCTTCCACGGATTGTTCGGCGGATCCACCAAACTACTCCCCGGATAAAACGCCGCACTCGCCTGCGTCACCCAATACAAACTCGCCACCACCGCCGCGGTGTCGACATCCATCTTCCGCTGCTGCTTAGCGAGCTGCTCCTCCGCGGTGGCTTTACCCTTGGCGGAAGGGACGGCGAAGGGGAGGTGGGCGGAGCGGAACTGATAGTAGGCGGTGAGGAGGCCGAGGAGGAGGCCCATGGACATGGTTTGGCCGTTGTGGAATTTGGCATGGGGCGGCCAGCTGGGGTTGTGGATGTGGGTTTCGTTCCAATCGGCGAGGTAGCAGCCGGTGGAGGTGAAGAGGGCGACGAGGGCGAGGAGGATGTTGCCAGGGGTGAGGTAGGGGGCCATGCTGAGGCTTATTTCGACTTCTCCTTCACTTCGTGTTTTGGACACAGGTTCGCAACGCTGGTACTGAATCTGATATGCTAGGTCTTCAGATAGGATCGGAATCGGAATGATTTTTGGTGTTGTTTGCTCAACGACAGGTGCTTCGAGCATCCAGTTTCAGGGGCTCGGCTTTTGTTAGTCGGATGCTGAAGATTTGGGAGTGCAAGAAATCCTAAATATAAGGCTTAGTGCGGTTGCCCGCCTTCTTCCGCGATCTGCAAGCTTCCGGTTCATCGGTTACACAGGGTTGGTCATGGTCATGGTCTCGATGCGGCCCGGTTGTACAGTCGGGACCGGGGATGTCCGTGCATTAATAATAAGGATAAGTTAGTTAACTAAGTTAAGTTAAGTTAATAGTAAGCACTAGTTAAGCCACTCCATCCCTGAGCTGAATGAAAGGTTTCCTATGATGTTATGCCGGTAACCACTGGACTGTTGAGGAAACAGGAACCTTGCTAATACTTCAATATATGTCATTCTAGTAGCATCGGAAGTAAGTTGAATCAGAAACTAATAATACCGGGGACGTCTGCTCAACTTCAAGATATTCGAATGCACACACCTGAAACACTCTTCTCCAAAACGGGTATATCGCAATTTGGTAATCGTAAAGGAACCAAAGTAGCCTACCAACGTTATTCCAAAGTTGTTTAGCTCATGATAAATTTCAAAGCCATCTGTCCATGCCACTCATGGAAGCACTCCCCCCTGATTGTCATCGTGTATCGCGGAAGAGGGCGCCAGAGTCCAATACTGGTGAGTTCCATCAACCTATGATTCCATGAAATCCGAGAACCGTTCGGGATGGAAAGATCGACACAATGCCATCCAGCTAGAAGCTCGTTTCCAGTCTTACTAGGCATTCCGCGACCGTTGATGACAGTTGCTGTCAAGCCATAAGCATCATGCCACTCTGTAGGTCTTCCAGGGTATATATTCGATGCAGGAACAACAAGCCTTGTTTGTTGCTAAGAAGGATCCCGAAGATCATTCTCCCTTGATCCTGGTGCGCTGTGGACTATTAGCTTCAAATAGGTCGCGCCTTGTACGCTATGAACAATTTGCGTTCTTCGGGGAACTTACCTTCGACTGGAGCCGGCAAGTTGTACTCCACACCTCGACCATCGATCTAGCGGTACGTAAACCAGGAAAATCCTGGCCCGAGTGGAGTTCCATCTGTTGGCGAACACGGTCCCACACGACAGAGCCAGCATGTTGAAACGCATTCTTGGCTATACGGACGGCATCTGGTAGATTCTCACCTACCATGTTCACAGAAGTGTGGCTGTCATGTACCAATCGGTCCCCATCACCCTCTAGCTCGGAGATCAACTCCTGAGCGCCTTTGACCAGGGGATCGTGGTCGTTATGAAATTCCATGTTTGCGATACTGAAAGAGGAGGGATTGTTCATTTCTTGCTGAGAGAGATGAAAGGTGACCACCAGTGCATTAACCACTGCAAAAGGGAACGTAAGAACTGCATCCTGAACCAGCAAGCTGCAAAGAAAACAAATGAGAGATGACTCGCAACCAAGTATTGTAGGGCGCTCAGCGTTTGATTGCAACGAAAGTAACCAGATTCAATGAGATAAAAGTTGCCGAATGGAAGTGTCGTTGGCGAGACCGGTAGAACATTACGAATAGTCGTCCTATACTTCGAGGCCCAACCCCTCTAGCCTACTCCCGAGATCAATGAGATAGAAATCAACACCCATCATGATCGAAGACAGGTCAAACCAGAATATAATGCGAAGAAATAAAACTTCAGACAAGAACAGCCTCCAGAGAGTCGTGATCAAAGATGTGAAGTCGGTGATTCTACGCTGCATAGTCATGATCGAACATCCATAATGTACGCACTCTCGGGTGGGTTGCATCTATGATGCAAGTCAAACTGATACAACCGGGGACTTGAAACCTATTTCCTTCTACTCATCTGGTGAACCAGGGACAATCTCTGGCGTCATAGTTGGAGTCATTAAGGGCGGAGAAGGCGGTTCCATGAGCTCAACAGTGTCACCAAGACCGCACAGCTCAGGTTCGGAATAGCGGTTGGTTACTTGGTTTTCGAAACCGAGTTGATTGGAGATCTCGGATGTCTTCGGCGCTGTTTCGTGTCGCTTTGTTAGTGATCTGTTATTGTAAACATCCAAGCCTTTGTGGGGTTGATCAGGAAATGGTCAACACGTGATGGTTATCACGGGATGGCCATCTCGTGTTCGACAGGGATATCTCGTGATCCAGGCTGACGTCGCCTCTCATTGGTCGGGCCGCACTCCAGTGACGTGAGACGACTTGGCACTTGGTGGAGGGACTTGGTGGAAGTGACTGGCACATTCCCGTCAACTCCAACTTCGTCAAGTCGCATATTATTAACCCTCGATCATACCACTTGGCACGAGCACCTTCAAGTCTTTTCCGTGGTTCGACGTCCTCGAGAATAAAACCACTTGTCCATGTATCTCACTTTCTCTTCGACCATCTTATATTTACAATACCACAATCATCATGGCTCATGATATGAAGTTTACTGACCGGGCTCAAAATGCCCTGGTTGATGCCCAAGACCTGGCGAAGGAATACGCCCACACACAACTCCAGCCTCTTCATCTGGCCGTTTCACTCATCGGCACTCAGTCAGAGCCGACGCTGTTATGGCAGGTGGTGGAGAAAGCCAATGGAGATCCACAAGCCTTCGAGCGAGCACTAAAGAGAGCCCTTGTTCGGCAACCCTCTCAAGATCCCCCTCCAGACACCACGTCGATATCGCCTGGCTTTGCGAAAGTCCTGCGATCCGCCAATGACCTCTCGAGAACGCAAAAGGACAGCTTCGTCGCTGTCGACCATCTCATCCAGAGTATGGTGCAAGACGCCAGCATCCAGCGATGCCTTGCAGATGCGAACGTGCCGAAAACCGGCCTCATCGACGCTGCTATTCAGCAAATCCGAGGCACGCGAAGGATTGACTCAAAGACTGCCGATGAGGCAGATTCTAGCGAGGGGGAAGAGAACCTGAAGAAGTTCACCATCGATATGACCCACTCGGCACGAGAAGGCAAGATTGATCCGGTCATCGGTCGAGAAGAGGAGATCAGGCGAGTCATCCGGATATTGTCACGAAGAACGAAGAACAATCCCGTCCTTATTGGTGAACCGGGCGTGGGAAAAACAACAGTCGTGGAAGGCCTGGCTCTCCGGATCGACAAGAAAGATGTTCCAGCAAACTTGGCGAACTGCAGACTGCTCTCATTGGACGTCGGTGCCTTGGTTGCTGGCAGCAAATACCGTGGAGAGTTCGAGGAGCGGATGAAGGGTGTTTTGAAGGAGATTGAAGAGTCAAAGGACGTCATTGTTCTCTTCGTGGACGAAATTCACCTCCTCATGGGTGCCGGTTCGAGCGGAGAGGGCGGCATGGACGCAGCCAACCTGCTCAAGCCCATGCTGGCTCGTGGTCAACTTCACTGCATCGGCGCCACTACCCTTGGCGAATATCGAAAATACATCGAAAAAGACGCGGCCTTCGAACGACGTTTCCAACAAGTTATGGTCAAAGAACCTACCATTCCCGAGACGGTCTCCATTCTGCGTGGGTTAAAAGAGAGGTATGAGAACCACCACGGTGTCACTATCCTGGATGGTGCCATTGTCTCAGCGGCTACATTAGCAGCTCGATACCTCACCCAACGACGACTCCCGGACTCTGCCGTGGATCTCATCGACGAGGCCGCTGCTGCTGTCAGAGTGACCCGCGAGTCGCAACCGGAAGCCATCGACAACCTCGAGCGCAAACTTCGGCAGTTGGAAATCGAGATCCACGCCCTAGGCCGCGAGAAGGATGAAGCGGCGAAAGCTCGTCTGGCTGATGCGAAACTTGAGGCCAAGAACGTGCTCGAAGAGCTCGAACCTCTTCGTGCCAAATACACGAAAGAAAAAGGGCGCGCGGATGAGATCCACCAAGCCAAGTTACGACTCGAAGAGCTGGAACGGAAGATGGAACGAGCGGAGAACTTGCGCGACCTGGCTCAGGCTTCGGATTTGAAATACGGAGCCATCCCTGACCTCAAGGCCCGGATCGCAACGCTTGAGAATGAGAAGTTGAAAGCCGAGGCGGAGATGATGAGCCATCGTGGCACAGGAGGAGGGGAGCCACTCCTGGCCGATGCCGTTGGGCCGGAGCAGATCAACGAGATCGTCGCTCGCTGGACCGGCATCCCCGTCACCCGACTCAAGACGACGGAGAAGGAGAAGCTGCTCCACATGGAACAAGTTCTCGGCCGCATCGTTGTCGGCCAGCCCGAAGCCGTCAAATCAGTTTCGAACGCCATCCGACTGCAGCGATCCGGCCTCGCTAACCCGAACCAACCCCCCTCTTTCCTCTTCTGCGGCCCCTCCGGAACCGGTAAGACGCTCCTCACCAAAGCTCTCGCCGAATTCCTCTTCGACGATCCCAAGTCCATGATCCGCTTCGACATGTCCGAGTACCAAGAACGGCACTCCCTGTCCCGCATGATCGGCGCGCCCCCTGGCTACGTCGGCCACGACGCCGGCGGCCAACTCACGGAAGCCCTCCGCCGCCGCCCCTTCTCCATCCTCCTCTTCGACGAGGTCGAGAAAGCCGCCAAGGAAGTCCTCACCGTCCTCCTCCAGCTCATGGACGACGGTCGCATCACCGACGGTCAAGGCCGCGTCGTCGACGCCAAGAACTGCATCGTCGTCATGACCTCCAACCTCGGCGCCGAGTTCCTCGCTCGCCCCAGCCGCCCTGACGGGAAAATCGACCCCACCACCAAAGAGCTCGTCATGGGCGCCCTGCGGAACTACTTCCTCCCGGAGTTTCTCAACCGCATCTCTAGCACCGTCATCTTCAACCGCCTCACGAAGCGCGAGATCCGCAAGATCGTCGACGTCCGCCTCGTCGAAATCCAGAAGCGCCTCGCGGCGAATGGCCGCAACGTGCAGATCGACCTCAACACCGAGGTGCGCGACTACCTCGGGTCCGCGGGCTACTCACCCGCGTACGGCGCGCGGCCACTGGCGCGGCTGATCGAGAAGGAGATCCTGAACCGGCTTGCGGTGCTGATCCTGCGCGGAAGCATCCGCGACGGGGAGACAGCGCAGGTGGTCTTGGAGAATGGGCACATTCACGTGGTACCGAACCATGGGATGGGGGAGAGCGATGTGGATTCAGATATGATTGATGAGGATGAGGCGATGGATGAGTTGGAGGCGGAGGCGGAGGATGGGGATGGGGATAAGGGGATGGAACTTTATGATTAGATGCGGGGATGGATGGATATAGCGGACTACGATTGATGATGATACAGCAAAAGTATATATGGGCGTTGGGAATTGGGTAGAGCGGCAGAGTTTTCAGTTTGTGGATTTTAGCGGTCTAGATGGACGAATATCAATGCAATGTTAGTTTTCAGTCATGATTTCCTTTCTTCGTTGCTATGATCTAGGTTCCTCACCCATCAACCTCCTCCACATTCCGTAACATACCTAAGAACAGTTTGATAACGATGCTACACCCTCCATAACCTCACCACTCCGACCTCCATGCGAGGGTTACCTTGAGCCCCATTAGTCCTGGTCAATTTACTTCCACTCACCGGACGCATAGCTAAATTTAATGACTGGTAGAAAGTGTGTCACTACTGCCGTAACCAGCGGGTCCTTTAGGTAAGATGAAGGGGGTAGGGAGATAGACCACCTGAATTACCGGGAAATGAGCACGGATTCTCTGTGGCAGTGTGAAGTTCTAAGCCGACCGAGAGACTCAATGACTTGTCCGCTGAAGTCGTAGATTTCCGGCCCCAATACCTGGGTTTCACAAGGATAAGGCCGTGGCGAGGGCAGCGGCAACACGCTCCTGCAGGTCTTTTCAATCGAAATTCCGGCACATGATGAAAATTAGATAATCGGAAACCGTAGAGTACGAAAATTATGCTTAATAAGGGAGATACCTATACTCTTTGATGTGCAACGAACAACGGGGCCCGAAGAAGCGCAGTTCGCTGCTGAGTCCACCCAGATTGCATGTTTATATCTTTAGCACATGTCCTTGATGCGAAGAATTGAATGCTAATAGGATTTTTAAGGGTCGAAAATAGTAGATCCTCTTGAAATAACGCTCATCTTTCAAAAAAGTCCCATCAGAAGAAGTCGGACCGAGGCTCAAACAAACATTGGAACGGCCAGGGAGACAAAGACAATGTCCTCAGGGGTTTTATATCTGCTTCACACTTAAGAAATGCTTGTTGTTTCCATAAAGATGACTCAGGATTGGATCAATGGCAAGGTTAGACAATCATGAGGGCAACAATTGAGATATGAGCAGCTGATTTCATTGGAATTGACGATTGCTTTTGGTTGACACCTAGAATTACCACAACCTCCCCTTGATTGCTTGCACTAACAAATTAGTTTCACCATTCTCTTAAGCGGCTACCATGGCACTCTCAATGGGATCCATAATAGCAGCTTCTTAAATTTCCAGTCATCGCAGAGGTACAGTGCTGATGAAAGAGATCAAAGTGTTTGAGCTGGAAACCATCGTGGACGTTGGAATAAAGCTCGGATAAAGCTCGGAATGATAGACATCTCCACAACCAACGCCACGAGTGACGGGCGGCCTAAAAGCACCCGCAACCGCCGACGCGCTATGATGCAACGCGTCGAAACCACCCGCGGCTTCGGACCCTGGAAACTCGTGAAGCCGAGACCAGCATCTCCTGCCATGTCCTGGTTGTTCTGGAATGGCCACAACGCCACGTCGGTCTTTCGGCGCATGACAGCCTCTCGGCATGTGAACAATCCGGGAAATTGATATTTAGATGAACCGCACGAGTCGCTCTTTTGTTGCTCGGTTCGAAGGCAAGTTTGCATTGATACCTTTGCGCAATCGTCATCCATCCCATTCAGCAGCAGTTCTTTGTTTTCTAGCTTCCTGAATTATCATTCATCGACCATGGCGCCGAAAAAGTCGACAAACTGCTATGTGTTGGGGGTGGGGATGACGAAGTTCATCAAGCCGCGGGGTGAGGTCGAGTATACCGAGATGGCGCTGGAGGCAGGTGTGAAGGCCATGCTTGATGCGGGCATCAACTACGACGAGGTCGAGCAAGGCGTTGCCTGTTACGTGTACGGCGATTCGACCTGCGGTCAACGGGTGTTCTACCAATTCGGCATGACCAAGATCCCGATCTACAACGTCAACAACAACTGCTCGACCGGCAGCACCGGCCTTTACATGGGACGATCGTTCGTGACCTCCGGCGCATCGGACTGCGTCCTCGTCGTCGGCTTTGAGAAGATGGCCCCCGGGTCGCTGTCGAGCAAGTGGGACGATCGCGAGAGCCCCATGCAGGGATCCGTCATGATGATGATGGAAACCCGGGGGTTCGAGACCGGGCCGCCGACGTGCCAGCTGTTCGGGAATGCGGGTCGAGAGCACATGGAGAAGTACGGCAGCACGGCGGACGATTATGCCGAGATTGCCCGGGTCAACCATGAGCATAGCACACGGAATCCGTACGCGCAGTTCCGGAAGGAATATACCTTGGAGGAGGTGAAGAGCAGTGGGATGATGCATGATCCCCTTACAAAATTGCAGTGTTGCCCGGTGCGTTGAAATCTTCCACAATCGCAGAGGAAAGGACTAACTGAAATATAGACTTCGGATGGTGCTGGAGCGGCCGTTTTGGTGTCCGAGGAATTCCTCAACCAACGACCCCATTTGAGGTCTCACGCCGTCCTGATCGCCGGCCAATGCCTTGCGACCGACGAACCTTCCCTCTACAACCGAAGCGCCATCGACCTCATGGGATACGGAATGGTCGATTATGCCGCCAAGACCGCATTCGCGGAGGCCAATGCGAGCCCGAAGGACGTCACCGTCTGCGAACTCCACGACTGCTTCAGCGCGAACGAGATGATCTCCTTGGAAGCATTGGGTCTGGCTGAGAAGGGTAAGGCCCACGAGATGGTCCGCAAGGGAGACATCACATACGGCGGACGGGTCGTGGTGAACCCATCCGGAGGCTTGATTTCGAAGGGTCATCCGCTCGGCGCAACGGGCCTGGCGCAATGCACAGAGCTCGTCTGGCAGCTGCGAGGTTGGGCGGGAGATCGTCTCGTGCCTGATACCACTACTGCTCTGCAGCATAACATCGGATTGGGTGGAGCAGTCGTCGTGACTGTATACAAACGATCTGATGGAAAGGCCTGCGTTAAGGTTAGCGATGAAGAGGCTGCAAAGGCGTCGGGTCTCGGTTATAATCCCGCTGTCCAGGCAAAGGGATTCACCAAAGAGCAGTTCGAGAAGGTCAGGAGTAAGCACTTCAGTGACTGGGCGCTTGGTGAGACGTTAGATAAGATCACAGCTCGTCTTTAAGGGCGGTCATGTATTTGTCGGATGTACTATTTGAATGTTAGAAGCATTTTTTGGTTGCAACCCGTTGTTGGTCTCTGTCCTGCATCATGGCATCGATACCCCGTTTTCTAATGCTTGGCCGCTCTTGTCACGACTGCTCTTCATTCCGTTTATACACCTGTGTCAGCAACAGTACTATCTAAATGCCTCCTGTAGGTACACTTTCAGTGTGACAGGAATCTCACTTCGTGCAATCCCTAAAGAGAAAGATCCTAAAACTTCTATATATATTCATCAACCTGGCCGCCCCTTTCTTTTTTTTTTTAAGTGTCTTTGGAGAGACCCTCATTTTCCACCGAACGCCGCTTCATCATAAGTTAGGTCGATTTCTAAAGTTTCCATGCCTTCCGAATTCAAACAAGCTATCTTACCACGCTTTAGCTCAGTCCATTCAGGTCCTCGTTCATATTTCGCCCGCGGCGCTCCATCCGAATACAACTCAACTGCCCGTGAGCTCGATTCAGTTCTTCACGAATTTCCATTCTCCGTTAATAGTAAGATTCTCCGTTACCCATAATGGAGCCGCGAGATTTGTTACGCGAACACCACTTGAATACTCCAGTTGGTTCAGGCCCTAATTCAGTCCGCGTCTACCAGGAACGGGACTCTACAGTCAATCCGATCATGGCACAACCCACTATGGGCCAGTCGGAGTCCGGATCGTCGATCAGTGACGATCCCGGCAGTCGTTCAAGTCCTTCTTACGGATGTTGATCGGCTTTCATTGCCTTCGGTGAGTTTTTTCTGACCGGATCGCAGTGGCCAACTTCCCAAAGTAGCCCGAGGATCTGCTGGATCAGAAGTGTATGGAACGTGAGAAGAATGGTCAGAGAAATGGAAAAGATCACGCTCTGTTGCAACTCCAAGCAAATATCATATCTGGTACGGAGTCTAGACACCACCCGCGGGAAGAGACATCAACTCATAGAGGGAACGCGAGAAGCTCAACATGCTGCTCATCAATAGAAGCGGAACCGGGTTCACGCTCAGGGCCATTGAGCTGAGGGGCAGGTAAGAACAACAGCGAGCAGGACAGTACTGTTCAGTTAATTACACTATGATTTCCGGAGTTGCGCATGCTGAAATAGAGTTAAAGATAGACTATTAACTTGAACGGTTCGGTGGCAATGGTAAGTTAAGCGGCATAAGACTGTGATATATGAGAATTCAAGGAAATCTCCCAGATGATCAAGCAATACCAAGCCAGGACAACAAGTGAAACGTATTCGCTGGCTGGGACGCATAATCACAAAGGGTGTGTGAATTGCAGTTGTAACATATAAACTCAGATTTAACAAATCATATCAGCGGAAATAATCTAGCTGAGTGGCGTGGTTATAACCATTCGTTTGGCACCCCACTAGTACGAAAGTACTAGGAATACGTTGAAAAAACTCCAAGGGGTTACCTAGGGCCTCGGGCTTATAGTTTTGCTCTTTTGCGGGACAACGCTGTGCCTAGCTCATTCTCTTTTCACTTCGGTACCTGCAGAAGCTTGGAAAGGAGTCACAAAGGCGTTCAGGGGTTCGTTTTGTGGTGGGTTCGAGTCCGAGTGTGCCAGTTTATATTTCACCACAGCACCGTCCAGTTGCACACCAGGCTCGGTTTTCGCTGAGAGAAATTGCAATTTGTGACCGTGCTATATTATCTATCTTCCACCATCGCTGATTAACTCAACATTTTATACAACTCCTCATCCTTAGCTAGCTATCAGGCGCACGGGGTTGGTTGAATACCAGTTCTCTCGAGGGTCCCCCAAGCACTCGCCGACCGTGACAACCTTCAAGTTATGTTGGCGAGCTTTTTCAAGCATGTATTTGGCCAAGCTGTGCACTGTCTGATCTAACGTGTCGTGGGATAGGACGATCCCTTTTGCATGGAGGGCATCATCGAAACGCTCCTTTGCGAAATGGATCTCGTCCGGGGTGAGATACAGGAAATCTTTCGTGTCAACATCGGTTCCAATCTACGACACCTGTCAGTGCATCTGTACTACTTTGCAGGCGATACTTCCATGTCTCGACTTACGACGCGGTAGCCAAGACTTTGCATGTCGCTCAGGCACGCATCATTACACTCGAGGAAAGGAGGCCTCATATAAGTCGGATAGAATCCGAGTATACCCAAAAGTGCACCTTCGACTTGTATCATTTCAGTCTTTCGTCCCTCTTGGGAAAGCGTGTTGAGGTCCGGGTGGGTCCACGTATGAGAGGCAATCTGGTGTCCAGCTTGATGGACTCGTTGGATCAGGGCCGGCCATTGCGACGAGGGGTTATCCATCGGTCCCTGTGGTTGATTGTCCCCAGTGAGGAAGAAGGTGGCCTTCGCGTTGTACGAGTCCAAGATATTCAGCAGATCGGCGGTCCAAATATTCGGGCCATCGTCAAAGGTAAGGGCAAGCGTGTTTTCTTGTGTACAAGTGGTGATCCAACCATAAGGTACAGCCCGTGCCAAATTTCGATGATCGGTAGAATGGAACTCTGGGCGTGCGTTCTTGTCGCAGGCCCGGCCATCACCAAACTGGCATTGAGGGACGTCGCAGTGGCTACGACTCTGCCCACAGAAACCCTGTTGCGCTATGTCACACCTGTGTTCGGAGCTGGACCAGTGGAGTAACTCACACTTTGAGAGCAGCAGAACCCTGCAGGGCACACTGCCCGTCCATTTTGAGATCCACAACGCTGATCCTCTGGTCCGGTGCCATGGTGCAGACTCGGATACCGCAAAGGCTCGGCGACACTGGAGGATAGGAATAGCCCGACCGCAGCGAGCACAGTAAGCCTTTGAGTTGCGAAGGAGAGCATCATCGTGTTCGAATTTCGACTTGAAAGACTTGGTTGTAATTGCCTAATACTCGAACATCGTCGCGAAACGGCAGAGATATAAATGTTTCTCTCAGCATGACTTGTAGCAATACGAAAATCCAACTCGCTTCTCAATATGATTTGATTCCCAACCCATGGAGGCAAAAATATTGAAATGACGATCCGGGTCCGTAACGCCAGGTCCGACAACTATCGAAATTGTGCGTTACATTCACTTCACACCTTTACCGGGTGCGGTGGGTAGGAGTTACCTCCGACTGAGGAGCGGCTCTTGGCCTTCCGATGCTGCGAAACTCTGCCTATCTCCATGCTGAGGGTCATTCACAAAGTCGATCTCCAGTACAGCATACCGAACTATGGAATGCTAGAGAGATGAATACGGCGTCGAATATATGTTGTACAGTCGACGTGTCGTCCAGCGGTGGAATACGATCTGCGCGTGCAAGACAGCACACGTCACCGCATCTCAGACATTTCAATGGTGCACCGTCAGGCCGAAAGATGCTGGGGCTCTCCCCAACCTTGTACCATGAACTGTGATCATGTTGATGTAACGGAGTAGAAGACTTGCATTTCGAATCTTTGCGTCATCCATCGGAAGAACTGTAGTCGTGTGCAATATTAGTTGTCGTTCTAAAGATGGCAGGATCAGATCTACCACCCCTGCATGGCGGTTTCCTAGTCGGTCATCGGGTTAGTCTCTGCGGGCCGGGGCGACGCTTCCGATTCACACTGCAAGTCTGCAACCTTCCTGGAAATCCAACTTCACTCCAAACTCTTAACTCCCGGTTCACTGCTCCCATAATTCATCATCTGCTCGTATCCCCTGCGGTAGCACTCGAGAATACCCGACATGTACAGGATTCAGGAATCACACAGGGAAGCATGGATATCCTGACACATGCGATGTGTTCGTTGCGTAACCATGCTAGAGCACAACTCTACCGCGTGCCTGGCATGTCGACCCCCATCGCTGAGAACTCAATGGTTCCTCGGATGGAGCTGAGCCCATCATGGAGCCTTACTTCACTTATGCAGCTCCTTCATTGTGATCGTCACTTTCTCACCAGCCTTGCGTTCGTATTTTTACAAGCACGATGTGTAGAAATTCGTCCTGAAATCAGGGGCAGCTCCGACGATTCCTGGTCGGAGCTGAGTCGGGATGTGTTGCAATAACCCAAGCCGCTGGTTTCTTTGTGGAGAGGCCAAATCTGTCCAATGGGACTGAGAGAAGGTCATTTTCACAGACGGCTATTTCCCTCATAATGCGGGAGGTTCAGTTATCGTCAGACACCTCCTTCGCAATGCTCACTTCCCAGTGTATTAGGAGAACAGAACGTCTGAGATCGAAATAGCTATGATCTGTGGTCTATATCAAGGGGCAGCTGTACCCGGGCCCTCTAAGCTCTTAAACTGTTTTGTGTATTTCGTTGCATGGCCTTTGGCAGTCTAGTTTTTACCTATTATTCGCCATGAAGATTGCTCTGAAACAGCCAATTCATCAAGCGTTACCGACTACTCAGCTCGATAAGCCAGGTGATTTCGATCATCTTGTGACAGAACAGCCACGGGCATATCGACGGTATCCCAGTGTTTCCTACCATGGAAACCTCCAAATTGGAAGACTCCTCGAGCCGGACAGTCAATTAGGGGTCAAAGACTTGCAAAATATGATCACCACGCCAACCGCGGCTGAAATTCCGGCCATCGCTTCGGTACCCAGTCTACCTGGTAACCCTTCGATTGTCGCGATAATCGGCACCGGGTACGTCGGGTATAACCTAGTCAAGTGCTTTGCGCCTCATTACGAAGTCCTGGCCTTTGACGTTAATGAAAAAAGAGTTGAGCAACTTTGCGCTGAGTTTGAATCCCCTCGGATTCATCCAACGAACAGCCCAGTTGACCTATCTCGGGCAACCCACTTTCTAATTTCGGTCCCGACAAATGTTCTTCCCGACAAGTCGATCGATACGTCCTGCTTACAGAAAGCAATTCAAACAGTGGGAGGATGTGCTCGTCCAGGCTCAACTGTGGTAATCGAAAGTTCGGTTGCTGTTGGAATGACTAGACGACTCCTTGGGCCGTTGATGCGACTTCGTGGACTTAAAGCAGGCATGTCACCAGAGGTACGCAAGTAATCTTCCCTTCAGCAACTAGCATGTTCATGAAAGGCAGCGCGTCGACCCAGGTCGGACGTCGCCTACGCTGGTAGACACTCCGAAAATCATCAGTGGTATTACTCCAGAGTCTCTCGAAAGCATCAAAGAACTTTACGGCCCGGTGTTCAACCAATTGGTTCCCGTTTCACGACCAGAGGTGGCGGAAATGGCGAAGCTATACGAGAACTGCCAAAGAATGGTTTGTATAGCTTACGCAAATGAGCTGGCAGACGCATGCATCGAGCATGACATTTCCGCCTTTGAAGTTTGCTCAGCTGCTGCGAGCAAACCATTTGGTTATTCACCTTTCACGCCGAGCCTTGGAGTCGGAGGCCACTGCATTCCAGTGAATCCATTCTATCTCTTCGCCAGCTCTTCCCGTCCGGATTCGTTTCCAATACTACGATCCGCAACCGAAAGGAATTGGGGACGGCCTGCTGCCGTTGGTGACTATCTCATGTCGTCTCTATTCAAGTCTTCCCAATACCGCGACGGAATCGCAAAAGGGCCCCCGAGGATTCTTATTGTCGGCGCAGGATTCAAACGCGGACAAAGTGTTCTCAGCAACAGCCCGGGGGTGGCATTGATGAAGCACCTCAAGGATGCATGGGAGCTTAAAGTTATTGAGTTTGCCGACCCCATGGTCAGACAAGAGCAGCTTCCAGAATTCCGCAGAATTGATGAATCCTTGGAGTGGAATGTGGAGAATCTGAGGAAATATTGTCTAATTATCATCGCAATTAGGCAGGACGGACTTGACTTCAGCGTTCTAGACACTGCGGCGCAGGGCACATATACCAGAGTCGAATACTATTGCCCATGAGGAGACTGGTTGCTGGCATGGCGGACACATGACGTTTTCAAGCCACTGTTCGAAGGCCTTGACAACGGGCGGAAATAATAGAACATACACAGTCCTTAGTGATTCAGTTACATTCAGTGGTTCCATAAAGTCATTGTGCACTGAACATCCTACCTCCCACTGACCAATCCCGCAAACTGCTACCGTTGCACGGTCCGACAGCTATGGATGACCAGTCCTATCGGTGTCCTCCACCGTCGTGCAAAACCATCTCCCCAGGTTGGTCCCAGTATGATCTTCCGGGAGGCACCTTCATGGCGTTCCTGGAATCAGTCCAGTCGCTGGGAGTTCGCTTAATGCACGATCGGGAAAAAATCAGGAATACATTCCACCAGATCCACGGATCTGGGATTGGAACATTACCCAGCGGTTCTCGAAAACGATGACATACAGAACATCACTGATCAGCTGTCCCCGACTCTGCCCCCGAGATCCTACCACTTGTTCCTGGTCCATGTACGATATATCGCCTTTAATTTTAAGATCGCGCCAATCGGGAGACATATTCGGCATAATTGGGGGGAAGTCCGTGGTAGCTACATGAACTGCACTGGATACGAGATTATATTCCAGAGCCGGAAATATCAAAGTCCTCAGATCGTCTAGTGACCTCGAACATGCAAGATCCGAAAATGTACCTGAGCCCCTCTCGGGAGATATCAACCGGCTGCAGGATCGAGAGGCTTCACGCCAATTTCTAGGGGGCGATCGGAAGTAGGTAAGACGCTACAACAGTTAAGGGCCAGAAGCTTCCATATTGAAATATTCCAACGCTCCCTTTCTAGCTCGCTGTTCCTGAAACGCTCCATCCATGCGGTGACACAGCGTGCCAATAGTCCGATGTAAGCCAAGTAGTATAGGCAGAGCTTTGTGATTCAGTTGACCGCTCGACAGGGTTTCCATGGCTGCTTGTTGGGTACTATGGCAGTTCAGCAACGTGGCCGTGCTTCCCATCTTACCTCTTTTCTTAGAGTGTGCATTTTCGTTTTACATGTGAATCATTCCCGCTCATTTTGTCAGCGCCGGTAATCAAAGGGCAGCAGTTTGTGGCTCGCTTGAGTCATTAACAGCTTGCATATACGGGTCACATCCGCTACGCACCTGCTTCTAATGGCTCGCAGGTATGAATAGTGCCGCGAGGCGTTTCGAGGAGATTGCAATTGGGTTCGTTCAGTCTCTCCACTGGACTAACTTCGATGTCGGCCTATGGATGCCATCATTTTACGTCTACAGCATGCTGTGGGACCCAGATCACGGTTCCATTAAGTCGGATACGCCGATATCTCAATAATTGAAGTTTTCGAACTGAACGGGGGATTATGGGTCATGCATTGAAGCTCTGACCTTGCGGATTTCAACGTTAAGTATCGATTAGCGTCAAGAGTCCCGGGTTCGCAATCTACCAAAGGTCAGCTAGAACCGCCGTAGTCCGATGTCAATGCTTTAAGAACCAAGTACTGAAGCTATAGGGCATAAGTAGTTTAACATGGGCAACAAAGTCGACATCCTGAGTCTTCGGTTAATTGATTATTGTCTCGTCGTATTCGAGTATTTGATGGCTTTTAATCCTGCCTAGCCATACTTCAGCACTACATCACTACCTGGCTCCTTGAGAGGAGATACGCCGTTCGTTGAAGCTTCTCCTTTCCAAACGCATATACGCCCACATCTCGGCATCCCTTCACTTATTCGATTTCGAACCAGTTGGAACGCCCCTCATGGCGGGTGAACCGATATCAGTCGCTCCATCAACAGGCATGCCAAGCCAAGGAGCTCCTGAATGTGATGACCTTGGCCTGGCGTACATGCCGGAGGTTTGTTAAACTAGACATCAAAAGAAAGACGCTCAATTGACAGATGCTTAATATTAGCCCCTTCGCTATACTCGCTTTGAAGCTGCGTCGGAGCAAAGCTCTGTACGGTTTTCACCTTCGGATTCGGAATCGACTTCACAAACGCACACACCGGCACCTCCAGAATCACCCACTGGTGGGGTGGTTGACGGGACACCACTTCCTTATCCCCTACAATCCGAAGATCAGATTCAGCATATATATCCAAACATAACGGGAAGCTCTACTCACCCTAGTACCTCATCCTTCCAAAGCTGCATCACGCAAGAGGAAGCGAGGCTAAGATGGAATTCCGAAGAAGAACTTCAACGCGTCTCGAAGGATATTCTGCGACTGCAAAAGTACGCGCTGATGATAGGCCTTTTAGGGGTCAACGGCGCCTTGATTTATATTGCTTGGAAGTACAAGCAATCCCATTACATCTTCCTGGTTCTCCTCGCGATGAATACATTTCTCCAGGCGGTCATGATCATGTGTTTGATCATCCACTACATCTTCACGAGGCTCCTCTGCTGCTGCCTGAGACGGAAAGAGAAGATCCCCGATCGGCCGGAACGCATTTGTATGGTGATTCCGTGCTATAATGAGACGAGACATGAGCTGGAGAGGTCCCTCGATTCTCTTGTCAGACAACAGGACCTGGATGGCCATGCACGGATGGCACTGATTATCGTGGACGGAAATGTGAAGGGCAAGGGAATGGAAAAGACAACGCAAGAACATCTCCTGGATGACATATTGCTGAAAAGTAATCGGACGTACTTCCGCAATGGATATCGAGCACGAGATGGTCTCTTCATGGCATGTACCGTCCAAGACGGCTACTACAAAGGATTACCATATATCCTTATAGGAAAGAGATACAACCAAGGGAAACGAGACTCACTATGTTTCATACGCTCCTTTTTGTACCATTTCTGCAACCGCTCCCAAGGAATCGAAACGATCTTCAATCCGAAGCTGTTCGATCACCTCGCAAATCTCCTCATCATCCATGGCTTGAACGAGGTCGACTACCTAGTCGGGATCGATGCGGATACCGTCCTTGCGGACGATTGCGTTTCAGAGATGGTGAAGGTTATAAGGACGGATCCAAAGCTTGTTGGCGTTTGCGGTCACGTCTGTGTTGACTTCGGAAACAGGCCATTCGGTTTCTGGGAGCTGTATCAGTAAGTGAGCTTTCCAGGTGCTGTTCGGAAGTGTTTGACTCACAGGATCCTTAATGCAGATACGTAGAGTACTCGCTCACCCAAGGCCTAAGGAGGATGTTCCAATCAAGGATAACAGGAAGAGTCAATTGCTTGCCAGGTACCTCAAACTACGACGTCGTTGGTCTATTGTATCTCCGCTAACTAACTTGAAGGTTGCTGTCAGCTCCTTCGTGTTGACCAGGCTACGTTCGGTGATAAGGTCCTTCGGGAAAAGTTTGGATACGTCCCGAAGCCCAACGATGGCATGACCAAGCATATCATGGGCAACTATTCAGAAGACTCGATACATGCATCGGTGATATTCTCTTGTTTTCCAAGCAAACGAACAGCCCAAGCACTCAAAGCGAAAGCCTATACGGTAGTCCCCGATAACTGGCGTGTCTTCCTCTCGCAACGGAAGCGCTGGAGTTTGGGATCGATTAGCAACGAGTTCGTCATGGCATGGCGTCCAGGTATCCTCCTAATTGAGCGGATCTGTTCCATCATCACATGCATAACCTGGTGAGTGTCTCCCATACCGTACTGGACAAGCTCGGTTCGCGGGCTTTCGCTGATGATGCTTCGAGGTTCATAATGCCGTTCATAATTGCTGCCTTTGCCGAACTGATATGGCTTCTCGTCCGGAAGGGCCCGAAGATCATCGATGATCATGTTTTCATCGGACTCTTAAGCGTGCTTGTGGTTCGATATATTTACTCGTTCTTAATCCTGGTCAGTCAAGTGGAAATTCCGAAAATCGTGACCTTGATTTCTGATCCTCGTTCACAGGCCTGGCTGCCATCCGGCTTCTTCGAACGGCTTCAGTTCTTCGTTGGGTTCTTCATACATCTCTTAGCTTCGCCTTTCATGAACATTATTATCATCGTTTATTCTCTCTTCTATAGCGACGATTTTAAATGGGGCAAAACAAGAGAAGTCGTTGAAGAGGAGGACACGATGGAGGAGAAGCGCCCAATGGTATAAATCTCAAAAAGAAAAACTTTGTGTATCAATCCGAGAGTGAGCGAAAGGATAATCTGCATATGACATTGTAAAAAGATCAAGTCCTTGTTGGTGTAGTGGTAACATCTGAGCTTGTCATATGACAAGTCGCTCGAGCCCGGGGTTCAATTCCCCGACGAGGAGGTTTTTTTTCATCTTTTTCTTTTTGACCGATATCAGTCGACATTAGAACTAAACCAGTCGGTATTGAGCAGTCTATGGGCCGTGGGGTAACTAACGTCTATACAGAATTTCTACCGGAGCAATACCAGTTACTACATAAGGAGGGAGATAGATGTGAAAGAGTAATAGAATAATGCTGTCTCAACTCCCACAGGGTTACCCAGGAATTAGCATACACATGATTTTTTAAAGCGATTATTCATATGGCTTGTCTGGTCGTGTATCCTAGTCCCTAGGGAATGCCACCCACCACCAGGTCCTGGGCGCCCGCCCCGACGGCCCTTACGTTTGGATACCGGCCACCGGGGCAAGTCGCCTAGGACAGGGTCTAACCGCCTGCAATGGGGCATGAGCGCCCCTAGTAGTAGCAGATATTTACAACACCTGCCTAACGTGGACAAGCTGAAGACCCAAAAGCTCCTCCCTTCTCTTATCTCTACAGCTGCTTTTTCAACATTGATTTTGGAGAAGTCATGAGTCGAAATAATAGCAGTGGTATATGGGCGTTTGGCAAATGTTCTGTGTAGGAATAGAGACACCCAGCATGAGTAGCGATGAGCAGAGTTGACATTATGACACCCCGTAATAGCATTGACAGATCACCTCACTAAATACACACCCCGCTCAAACTTCTCGAAAATTCGAAATTCGAAACCACCAATTCCCTTCGGCAAGGGCAACGCGCCTTTGCTCCACCCGGCCGGTTGCTAGTAACAACATGAAAATGAAATCCCCACGCATGTGAGAAGCCACCGTCAAACCCAATCCAACATGCCAAAACACCAGTAGATTGTTTCCCAGGCCTTCAGAGTAAACATTCTCACGATGATTTACCTGTTTCATACGCAATCTGCTTCCATCCAGCAACCTTGGCTTCACAATAGTAATTTGTTGTAGGCGTCCCTTTATGGCATTTCTCTTCCCTAAATCGTTGCTGAGAACCTTTCTATGGTTGTGCGCGCTTGGATTGACATTTCTCAATCATTCCACACTGATTGGGGCCTTAATTAAGATCCGGATGGGCTTAATAGCATTGGAATGGAGTGTGTAGGTAGTAACCCAACACCCATTCATAGCCATCTAGAGTTCTCTCGGCTTGCATGTCATTGACGTTGGACCAAATTTAAGGATGGAAACATCTGCTGACATGAAATTCGATGGATTTCTGTCATGACTTACCAACAAGCGATTCCCCAGTGGCTAGGATGGCAGTAGAATGGCTTTTGAATCAAGGTGGTCTGTTTGCTCTGCGGCTAATCTTCATAAGGCTCTAATGAAATCTGATCAGCAGGGCGCAAGATATGGATTCTTTTACCGTTAAGTAGCCAGGTCCTTGCTTCAACGGTCAGATTTTCCTTGAACAGTCTTCTAACGGTTTTTGAACGGTTGATTAACTGTTCATAGACGGTCTTGCTGTTTTCGACGCTTGTTGAAGGAAGGAACGACTGCATAACGAGTGCAAGAAATGGGGCCTGCGCCCTGCTGATGTAATGAAATATATATTTAAGGCATTACGGCATAAACATTTATTTGATTACTAATCTGGTCGTTCATATCGTCATGTTTCTATGCTCCCCTTCTCTCACCTTCTCCCACCGCCGCTATGGTGCCCATCTATCTGGTTATGGAACTAGGTCTTCAATTTTTTTTTGTTGTTGCGGACGAGTCTGGTGTTAAACTGTCAATTATGGAGGACACCGAATATCGATTTGTTGAACTAGAGTCAACTGAAGAGGTAGGAACACTTGGTAGGGTTTGAGATACGTGAACCCACGGTGTCATGATGGGGAGAAGGTCGACGACGGTCTCTTATTGTTATTGCTGTCGCCAATAATAATCCGGACACAATGCCTCTTTGTCAACCGCAATCAAACTGACGAACTACCAGACCGCGACCCGTTCACGTCCATGATGCTCAGCTACACCAATATCCAAACCATGGCATATCGGTGCGGCGACAGCAGGAGTTGATCCGAACTGTATGGTTTGGCGTAAGTTTCAGGACAAGGACAAGCGATTGCCCCTCAATGCTACCGTCCATCAGGTATAAAAGATGGCCCATCAACATCAGCGACCTTGAGGACCGAGTCATATATCAGCAATTATTATTTCATCTGATAAACTGGATGGCTGTTCGAGGTCTACAGTGCCCAGCTGTTTCGCTGCGGTTTCTGAGCAGATTTCATGGGAGGCATAGACAAGGCGGTCGCTATTACATCCCAACAACTTTTCGGATTTTCGATCCGGGATTCGTAGAGAGGTGTCTATCTTAATAGATATCTGTTATGGACATGGTTGCTCTTGCACTGTTGCACATCTGTATGGACTGCGGCCATTGGGCATTGAGAGATGTCGTTAATCTTAGATCACGATCCCCTCAGGGATCTCGATATGCCTGGGCGCCGGGCGGGCGTGGCTTCATTTGAGGGAAATCTAATTTAGATGTCGACCACAACTATCTTCGAGCGAAACGAAATCTCACAACTCAGAGGTCGGTTTACTTTCAAATCCTCGCTCTGATCTCGTGATGAGCTGCGAGGATCGAGATCCTGTGTGTCGTACCCATCACGATATTCTTCTATTAATCCATCAACAGCAATCTCTCGGCGCCTTTTCATATCGCGATATATGATAGATCCGATGGGTCGCTTGATCTTTCTTTTCAGGCTCCTCTTACGGTCTTACCCCTCCTACTAGCGCCAAGGGTACGACTTTCCGATCCGAACGCGATGGAGATTGGTCAATCCCGGTCCCATAAATTAGAGGTTCATATAAAGGGTTGTATCTCAATCAATTTTCTTCGTCCATGGGACACAACTTCGCAGGCTCTTTGACTAACCTCATTTTCAATGGTAGCTCACGACTCGTCCTTTTCATGAAAGCAATGTCAGGCCAAATTGGGCGCAAAACTCGGCACGCATGGTGCCTTATGAATTCGAGACGTTTATAGTTCTTCCTTGTCTCGTTATCAGCACGCGTTTCTTTGGAATTGCTCTTCAAGCTTGTCTTCTGTCCGTCGTTACAGAGTCACTGAAACCATGCGTTCGTTCAACTCTTCTCCAGCTGGAGCTTTGCTTTCATTGTCGCTCTCTCAGATCTTTTCTATTGCGCTTGCTCAATCTTCACCCCCTGTAGTTGAGCCAGTAGTAACCCCGACGGCAGCTCCAGTTCCTAGCTCAACCACAACCTCTGAATGGGTAGACACGCTCACAGCTCCTCCGGCCTTTCCCTCGTTTCCCACATTTGAATCCCAAGGTGGTGGCGGGTTAGGCGACTTTGCCGGCGAGAGGGGTGGCCTTGGCGGTGCTATCCTTCCAATCCCGTACGGCGAACCCGCCAATATCTCTACAATCACCGGCCAAGGTTGGTTGCGGTTTCTAAGGGTGATAGCTCGAAGCTTGCTGATATGAGGAAGGAAATCCGTCCATATACGTTTGTTATAACTCGCATCTAGGTAAGACGGACATGGCCAACAGTAAATAGTTCAACTCCAGTAGAACACTCACGTTGCTTAGCATACACGTCCAGCCGCCAGTCGTACATTTCGAACAAAATCCCTCTCAAATATAACACTACGACTATTCCGTATTCTACGTGGGTAACAGCATTTCAAAATACCTCAGTCATCCCAACCACTCTCTGCGATGGCTATCCACGATTCCTGGACGAGACTGTCACGCCCGTCACTCTGACCTTTTCGGACAATGTGATGCGTGAGATCACTCAAACCGAGCCGGGGCCACTCCCGACGTGCACCATTGAAGAAACCTCTTGTACCTGGGCAATTGCCGCTTACGCGACAGCAACGTATTCATATCTGTCCAGCGTCTATAGCACGCACTTTGCCCAGACCGCAACCGGTCTTCCCAAGCAAATCGCCTTCAACTATGTCCGGCCGCCGTGTTATACCGATCCGTCTTGTCCTGCGCCGTCCGCAAAGGCACACTGCAGTGCGGATTCGGAAGAGGGTACTGTTCTCTACTGGCCCGTGACAACTGGGGGAAATTTCTGCAACGGAAGCTCCATCGTGCCTGGCACGCCAACCGTGGCCGGTGCGCCAAACACCGCCGTCTTCCGCGGAGCCACTGTTACTTCGCCCACCGCGCTGGTTATTCTGCGGAAGGCAACCCTTTCTGCCGCATCGACGACCACCCGGCCAAATCAAGGATTGAACTGGCAACCGTGCGGTCATCCTGCCGATGTGACATTGTCTCTCGCCCCGGAAGAGCTCTCGACCTTCCGAACCGAGTACAGCGTCTCCTTCACAGATGAGGATTACACTTACTGGGAGACGTCTACCGTACTTGCACCGCTGCAGTTCCAGGACCTGAATCGTGGCGCCGTGCCATACAACGAGTACGCCAATGTACGGGGATGCAATATCAACGAGACACGATCCGACTACAGGCGATGCCCGAGCTCAATTTTGCCGGACTACACCCCATCATTGGTCTACCCGAAGCAGGCTATTGCTCAGGTCACTGACGCGAGCTTTGCGAACTTCTCGTGCTCAACCGGCAAAGTCAGGAAGAAACCCACATTCGTTCCAATCACTGCAGCAGCAATGGAAATGCCATCGGCGACGCATTACGGGGCAGAGGTATCCGTGGGCCCAAGAACTAGCACGTTGAAACAAGAAGAGGTCGAGGAGGTGATGACTTTCGATGAGGCTAGAGTCTTCTAACCAAACATGAGATAGTCTTCTTATCGTATAAAGTTTTAGTCCAAGTTGGCTTCCATACTCCGTGATAGAGTGAACCGTTCACATCTAAATATCTAGATTTTCTACCCAGCACTAGGGTTCTGAGACGGCTGAATCTTCTGAAGGAAACGAAAAAGGGGATAAGACGAGAATAATAGCAAATAGCCACTGTTTTGTGTAACTGGCAGCCTAGGATTTGACGATATCCCAGTTGGGCCCGTATAGGGAATCCAATTTGGCGAACAAATCGTGGGAGGTGGTACACTGCCGTGGGTGTCTTAAGAGGTGGTCCGGGGTCCATCCTCAAGCGCATATGGGCAACTAACACCTCGTCGTCTGCAGGCCTTTCAACTCCTTTGATCTCTTCAAGCGGGTTTTCGATAAAGGTGTGTAGTTTTACAATGACTAATTCTGTGGCCACGTAAGTTTTCCAGGACTCGAAGTTGTCTCGGTCTTGTAAGTGAGGGATCGAAGGGATCTCTCAGTCGGTCTTCCCCTTCTTCGACCTCAGACCTGTCAAGCCTACGCACTGTCGAGAGAAATTGAGAAGTTTGTATATGCTCCACCCTCTAAATGGGTATCTCCTGTCGAATCACTGTCAAGAATTCATTTCACAATCTTACCACAAACCTCTTCGCAAGCGCTCGAATTCCTCTCCTTGCATCCCCCCCAAGTACCTTTTGGGGTGCTTCTACTTCCACTGTCCGGTTTGAGCTCTCTGCAACGTCTCCTAGCAAGGATTAGTCGATATCATAGAGGTAGACTATCAGATGATACCTTCCAAAGGACCAAGTGATGACAATTCGTGCCCGATCCTTCGGCATTGATGACAAGACGGCCCAAGAAGAGCTTGGAAGCCCGTAAAAGCGCGCTTGTACATCGTTTCCGCCATAGATATCTTCGCTTAGGCAGCAAACAAGTCTCCGAGATTCCACAGAGTGTTAAGCGCTGGACTGTATCTCGCAACGACCTCTGTTCCCATCGCCTCTTCGTATCCATGCAGCGTTTGCATGTACATATTCTCTGCCTTACCCTGACTACCTTGGTTTGCGTAGAGCAGGCCCAGGTTGTTGATCGTACCGAGCGTCGAGATGTGCTTCGGTCCAAGTGCCTCCTCCTTTCCTTGCAACGCTCGCATGTACATCTTCTCAGCCTCACCCAGCTTGCCTTGCTTGGCATAGAGGTTGTCTAGGTTGTTGACCGTGTCAAGCGTCGATGTGTGCTTTGGCCCAAGTGCCTCCTCAGTTCCGTGCAGCGCTCGCATGTACATCTCTTCTACCTCCTTCAGTTTCCCTTGGTCGGCGTAGAGCAGGCCCAGGTTGTGAACTGCCCATTCAATACCATTCTGTGAAATGCCGCATTTTGATATCATAGATAAACACCTTGCTACATGCTGGAGGAGTCGTTGCCGTATAACCCACCATTCTTTTATATTATTTCCGGGAACGTGTAACCCGATAAACTTTAGAGTTAGCCTCACAATGTCATTATTCCACTCTGGATTTAGAACATGCATCGTCCATGAGTGTACACAGCTATGCATTCTGTACCCTCCTGACTCCACTGAATCCCGTGAGAACGAGTTTGCTTCCACCAGTCCGTGGTTACACAACACTCGAACCGCTGCAACGAAGTTTTTTTGGTCTTCTGTGAGTTTTCGGATCCATTCTGGATCACTTGAATCGTTATGACAGGGAAGCTCGAACCAGAGGTCCTGGTTGTCAAAATAAGCCCACAACTGAAGGAACTGAGCCGAAAGTCGGTTCTGTTGTTCCACATGCTTGTACGAGATGTTCCATGTGGTGTAGAGCGTTCGATCTTCGTACGAGTTCAGCTCAGGACTTTTCTCTTTCAGTTTCAACCATGATTCTTTATATTGATGAAGGTACTCAGCCAAACCGGTCGATACTTGATCAAGATATGCTCCGGCGGTCGCAAGTGCAAGAGGGAGCCCGTCTTATTCATTGACGAGCTTGATAGCATCGGGATCTGTCATCCTAGTTAGTATCCTCTCTATAGGGTCAAAATAATCCTCACCATTGTTCAATCCTTCGCGTCTTGACACGTTCGACAGGATCTTAAGGCAATCCTGCACATTCTCCAGCTTTTGGACTGGAATGCCATGGCCGATTTTGACCTGCGACGACCGCGTGGTGATGATGATTGATCCTTGATAAGATTCCAGCAGGTACTTCTTAATGTCCAATGCCGTCGGATCCGTGTTACCTGGTACCTTGGAATTGTCGTAGTTTTCGTATATGGCCAGCCATCTTACGTTATTTCGGAGACTCAGCCACTCTTTGACGGCTTCTACCACTTCATCCAAGCTTCCATTCAAATCCACGGCGTTAAGACACTGGGCAGACGGATGCTCTTGGCGTATTCTCCGGGCAGCGTTCGCAAAGCTTTGCTTCAGAGAGACTTCATCTTTGATATTCAGCCACAAGATCGCTGAGTATCTATCTCTATATCGCTTCGCGTATGCAACTGCCAATTGAGTTTTACCAATTCCCCCAAGGCCATGAAGAATAGCAACGCAACGGCTGCCATCGCCTCTGAGCGCCTTGTGTATTTCCATGAGCTCTCTTTCTCTTGCAACGAAGTGCTCGGTTTCAGCAACATCGGAAAGACTGAAAGGTATCGCGAAGTCTTCGAAGTGACGACCTATACCGGTCAGTACCCCCCCCACGGTTTCATAATGGAGAACGCCTTACGATTCGATGTATTTTCGATCTCAGCATGAAGCCGTCGAAACACATTATCTCTCCCCTCACCATAGATCGGTGAAATACTCACGCCAAAAATTCCCAACAACGAATAGACTTTGTCTTCCTCTTTGGTAGTCTCACGGTCCTCGGTCCACGATATTCGTTCCGTGACGCCGAATTGAGAGAGGAGCTTTCTTCGAAGTGCCTCGACTGGGATTTCTACAACCTCGCGAATTTGTCGCTCTAGAGATTTCTTGCTCCCAAGCTTCCTACAATCGTTGGAGAAAAACTCCACCGATTCTGGGGCGATCAGCTCTTGCAGAGTCTAGCCTCGAGTGAACCATCGACTTTTTCGAAACTCGACTTTCCAATATTGGAAATGCGAGTTGTTAGGGTCCAAAATCGGTCCTGCGACATCCGAGAGGTAGACATAGCATCGTTCTGCATCGCGATACCACCGAAACATGGAGTTGATGGCTTCTGAGAGCTCGACAAGATTGGTCTTATCGATGCAGATGGGATCAATCTAGGCGAACATACCCAGTACGTTCTCCTAATGGGTTAATCCCTGGGACCCCCTCACCAACCGAGCTCCATTCCCTTTGCGCAATACTACGATTTGCCGCCAGACAAAAGTAGAAGAATAATAATAAAAGCATAGCCATTTCTCAGGGCATTCCGTATGGATATATATAAGACTAGTTATAACTTGTGGTCGAGTCAATCTGGCCGTCGTCCCAAACAGGCCTCTGGCCTAAATGGGCTCCGCTCTCCATACTGACCGAGCCCAATCAGGCTCCTTAACCCAAATAGCCATTTATCGCAGTCCAGTATCCGTGCCCCATGACCGCCCCTCCCTTGCGCTTTTGCGGTTTACCAACTAATTAATACCACATCGCCGAGTCCTATTACATATCTACCTCCTCACTTGGAACGCCTTCTCCGATGCCTGCTATCAAACCAAACCGGATTGACGTGAATGCTGACTTCACCCGGATGGCGACTATCGCCGCTGAGCTGGTCTCAGTAAGGTTCTCAGATAGACAGGCGATGACGACATTATGTTGGTTGACTTGTCTGAGCGCGTAAATATTTGGGATTGAATGGGCTGCGAGAAAGCCTGGGATATCTTGCGGCTTCCACACATCTAACTTAGAATAGCTGGCTTGGGAAAACAGGAGGGTCGAACGGTATGGACTTTACAACGAATGATACGTATTGCATTACCATGCTTAAGTTGTGTGTTGACTTTGCTCTTTGAATTGCTGCGTCAAGAAATTCAGAATAGAGAAACACTGAAGAGAAAAGCTGAAGAAGGTGACGATTCATCACGTGCCATCTCCTGGCTGAGATTGGCAGATAACCTGGCCTTGCGGACTGCATTTGGCGCCGATAATGGTCTGTCCTTAAACCTCAGTCAATCTCTCAAGACACACAGCTCGTAGCCATGATTTTGTTGTGATACGTGGCCTATCTGCCTATCTTCCTAGCGATGTGCCCTTCCCCAGATCACCAGTCGGTCAGGTTCACCAATGAAGGAGGAGTAGGTGGAGTCCAGGCTAGTCAGAACAACGTGTATTGTGGGCTTTCCGGTACCATACCTGCCCAGCCACTTAGCCAGAAGATATGCCGCTTGTCTTCTCCATCGACCCATTTCCTGATATCGTTAAGGACGTTGACTCGAGTGCCAGGGATGCAGAGAGGGTCATCTCCTTTCTCCGATGCGTTGAATGTAGCGTTGGGCGCGTAAGGGAGGGAGTTTCGCGGATTGCGATCGTGTGCAGTCCCGCTATAGACAATCACGCCGTGTTAGTAAGCTTAAAGAGAGATGGTAGACCGAACTTACTACACGTTGAAGTCCCCATCCCATACACGGTCCATCTGGTTCATTCCTTTTTAGCGCCGGGAGAGGCTTGGTGGCGCCAAGTTAGCGTACTAATAGACTCCAATCACAACGCGGTACGAAAATTACAGCTTTTGGGCCTTTTTTTCCCGCTCCATTGCTCATGGCAACTCTAATCTGAACAATCGAAGCGATCAACTATGCTTTCGATGCTCCCATCAGCTTCAGACGCCACCGCTTCCGATGACGAGGTATCTGAGGATGAGCTCACCACTGAATTTGTATGGAGAGTGCCGTCTGATGCTACCACCGCTGCGGAAGCGGATCCGGAGTCCCAATTACAGCAACCTCAGGTTGAGCCTGCAACATCCTCCGCTGGATCTCTCCCTACGCCAATTGGACAACCTGGGGATGTCTCCTACATAGCTATTGATCCTGCTACTAAGAGGCCTTTAGGGCAGCCTGGGACGTACTTTAAAAAGATGCAAGGATACGTCTCATACTATCACTACCCCGAAGCGTTGCTTGATCTCTTCATTGGCGTCTAAGGCCCTCTCTGCGCTACCGACACCCAGAGTGTATCCTGTGGGACTCCAGGTTGTACTGGCTGCGGGATTTTCCATGGCAATGGTCAGTCCCTAGACCCAATGCTTCACGATCGCCCTCCCGCTTCCTTCGAAGAACTTGCTGAGCGATGGGATCTTCCGCTTGTTCTTTTCTCCCAGCTATTTGATGAAGGCATTTATAAGACGATCGCAGAGCACTCCAACCGGTACGCCCAGAGGCATGAAATCTCGATTAGGCCTGTTACCGCCGGCCATATCCGGATATGGCTGGGCCTTGTCCTTTACATGGGTACCCTTAATATCGCTTCTCGAGGGGATCTCTGGAGTAGGAATGGCCAGCGGCCTCTTCACTGTATCTCTAGGTTTATGTCCTTTCGAAGATGGAAGCAGATCAAACGGATTATCCACCTCTCTGATCCCGATACAGAGCCGCAGCCGACCTCCGTCCTCGACAAAGTACAACCAATTGCCTCGCTTTTAGGTGCTCGCTTCAGCCAAGTATATCTCCCCTCAAACTACGTCTCAATCGACGAGATTATGGTCAAGTTTACGGGTCGATCAAAGGAGATTGTCTCTATTAAAAGCAAGCCTATCCCTGTTGGCTATAAAATCCTTGCCCTCGCCGATAGAGGCTATGTTTATAGCTTTCTCTTTACCTCAGGAGGAAGCTTTGATACCGGAGGAAGGAAGGATGCATCATCAATCCATGGTGTAAACTATCAGCCCCCCCATGGATACGAGAATCTTGAGCTTACGGCTACCTCAAAGGCGGTTATTACCTTGGCAGCCTCTCTTCCTGTCAGTCTCCGCAAGTTTGTTATCTTTATGGATAACTACTTTACCAATATTCGCCTGCTCTCAGTCCTTCGAAAAATGAGGATTGGGGCCTGTGGGACGACTAGGACGTCGTATAAAGAGTACCCGTTACAGCACTTCAAAGAGGTAAAGGACAATTGCAGATGGCCGCTTCAAAAGCAGGACTTCCTCTGCGTTCGCGATGTTGCCAGCCTCTTATGGAAGGATCGGGTACTCGTACGTTTCCTCCATACCATTTTTGAGCCAGAAGAGAATGATTGGGCACCTCGGAGGCGTCCCGCGACTAGTACAGCTGCGTACCAGCGAGAACTTGATCAAATCTACCCTCCTGGGGTCCACGACATACCGGTTCTACAACCCAAAGCTGCCAGACTATACAATAGCTTTATGGGAGGCGTCGATATCGCGGATCAACGCCGAGCTTACTTCACATCGCACCTAATTAGCCAGAAAACATGGCATCCTATTCTCTTCTGGATACTCGATACGACTGCTTCGAACGCTCATATCCTCGGTACATGCCAGTTTCGAAAGCAGAATATTAGATACCTACAGAGCCTTAAGGATTTCCGTCTACAGCTTGCCTGGAATATGGTCATCAAAGGTATCTCAGATGGTCATGGTCCCCGAGTAGTACAGGGCTTCAATGAGCAGGAAGGTCCTCAATTCGAGGCAACCGAGGGATCAGGAGATCCGGTAACTCGTACGTACGGCCAAATACGGAGTTCCCGTATCATACTACTCTTAGAAGTGGTGTTCATCGCCTGGCACGAATTTCAAGAGGGATGCGACGATGGTGTTGGTTGTGTAGGTGGAAAAAGCTAAGGGATAACCAAATCAAGGACCGAAGGACCTTCTTTTGCTGTGAGATCTGTGGAGAAGGATTTCCTCTCTGTACTAGTTGTATAGAACCATTCCACAGTCAAAGACCTAGCTAGATACTATTAGATTCCTCTAACTATGGTAATTGTGTCTATTTACTTTATATGAGGATTGCATACAAATCAAATGGGACACCTTTTTTTTATATATATTTTTTTAAATCCTACTCCATTTCAGCTGGCTTTAAGAGCCGCTATGCTGGGTATTTCTATTTTACAGGCGGGCAGCCTCACCGTCTCCGGTGGGTTAGAACTAGATATGGGCAGGGCGGACAGTGCGGGGGCCATCGGCCCCGCCTCATCTATACCCAAGGGAGTGCTAAGACTCCCGAACTGGATAGCATCAAACAATTAGGAAAAAACCCTCGGAAAGACCATAGACAATGGTAGGGGTTCTACAAGGAGAAAAGATTAAAGCAGTATAACTCCCGCCTGGGATGCTTTATTATTAGGCTTTGTTTGTTTCGGGACGTTGGTACTATCCGTCTTCACACGGTGTCGGTGGAGACTTACTGTTGATGTTGATCGGAGATACAACATCGGTGGTAGGTTAGGTGAGTTGGGTGGCGGTCTTCAGTTGCCTGAATTGGCTTAGAAGACCTGTTTGGACCAATAGTTTTGTTGCTTTTGGGGCGTTTGCGGCGGTTCCTAGGAGGATCCGAAGGTCTGTAGGCTGGCCGTCAGGCCAGAGTGTGTCACGTAACTGGTTAAAGTTCGGGCATTCCGTAAGGATGTGCCTTGGGGTCTGGTCTGTACCGCAAGTACAGAGGGACGAATCGGCTGCGTTGATGCGGGAGAGGTAGCTGGCCAGGGCCACCTTCCCGGAGCGAAGTTGTGTCAGAACTGATGATTGGGCCTTGTTCAGAGATCGATGGATCTTGAGTAACGCGCGCGATGGTTTCGGGGCTAAGCGGAAGAGTGTTCGCCTGTTCGGCCTCTTTCGCCGCGTTCCCATTCGGTCGCCCACTCGGTGGCGGTGCAGTCGCGCGTGTCTCTTCTCGTAGCAGAGAGGAGTGTTAAGTGGTCCTCCGGTAGGGAGGCCCTAGGCCCATCGCAGCTTATCCCCATCCATCCTGTAGCTCGTTTTGCTAGTTCGTCAGTTTGCTCGTTGCCCAGGATGCCGGAGTGGGAAGGGATCCAGTGGAAGTGCACCATGTATCCCGCGCTCATGAAGAGTTGGTGGCGGAGGAGGATGTCTATCACGTAGTATTGTCCTGAGTGGATTTGGGGGCTTAGGAGCGCTTTGAGGGCTCCCTGGCTGTCGGCGAAGATGTAGATGTGGGTGGCCTCTGATGGAAGTGGGATTCGGCGTTGGGGGATCAAGGCAACCGTCCTTCTCTTGATTTCCGAGTGCTGGTCTGCCATGTCCAGCGCTAATTGGATCCCACGAAGTTCGGCTGCGTAGATGTTGCTCACGGACCGGGGGCCCATGTAGTTCATCCGCTCTTGACGTCTGGTTGGGAAGTAGGCAGCGGCTCCTACTTGTCCGTTTAGATCACTTCCATCGGTGTAAAACACGAGTTCGGTGCCGTAGGCCTTCTCATTGTGTTCCCTGGTTGCCATCTCATCAGAGTGGGCGATACGGGCATCCGGCTTGAGTGTTCATGGCGGCCAGTTCGCCGATCAAATGTGACATCTTGATAAGTAAGAACTCGTAATTCTTCCAAACTAGGCTAAGTGCTTCAGGGGGTGGTGCTAGCGCGGCCATGCCAAGTGGCATGAAAACCTAGTAAGGGATGCATGCATCAAATCTGTAATAACAACTGGCGTGATCAATCTTGGCAAGCCCCCTCCTTTTCCAGATACTGGTTCCCTCGCAGCACTTTATAAGACCGGCCAGAAATCCCCACTCCATGTTTCGTAAATATCACTGCCGATGCCGGAGTGACAGTCCATTACGAAGATCGTGCAAAACAATGAAGTGGCGATTTCTGAAGCTCGGCAAGCAAGGCCAAGACAGGAGCAAGGTCGAGGAAGATTCCACTAGTGGCAGCTTGGCGCGCTCCCCGCCCAAACGATTCGGCCTCTTCAAGCTCCCCACCGATGAGAGCGTGGCCGATACGAACAATCATGAGCACTACTACCCAGTCAACATCATTGCAGTACATGGCCTGAATGGTGGTGCGTACACCACATGGACCCATGATAATGGGACGTTTTGGCTTCAAGACTTCTTGCCAAAGCTTCTGCCTGGATGTCGCGTTTATACCTATGGATACCCTTCTCAGTTTGCCTTCAGCAAGTCATTAGCAGAGGTACAGGAGTACTCGCGACTACTTTTGAGCTCAATAAGAGACGAATACGAAAATTGGGATCTGGTACTTTCAATCACATTGTCCGGTACCCGTTAGAAGAGCATATTAATCTGATGTTATCGAAGGGCTCTCGTACTATCATCTTTGTCTGCCATAGCCTCGGAGGCATTGTTTTTAAACAGGTTGGTTTATCACCTCCTGATATCGACTCCTTACCCAGTGCTGACTGCTGTAGGCTCTAGTGATTGCTCATGAAGATGACGTGGTGTATGGGGAAATTCTTAAATCCATTGCTGGTGTTGTCTTCCTCGGAACACCACACAATGGCAGCGGCGTTGCGAATTTTGCAAATACCGTTGGCAAAATAATCAATGCCATCATAACAACAGCATCTTCTGGAGTTCAAACTAGAGCCATCAGAACCGACCTGTTCAACTACCTCAAATACGATTCTAAAGCTCTCAAGGACCTCGATGTTTCAGTTCGAAATCGATTCCATGATTTAACTGTGGTCTCATTTTGCGAAACTGAGCAGGAGTCTCCGTTCCCTTTCCCGGTGAGGCTCAACTCTGGCTTTATTTGGTCATGTTACCTTAGACCGACTGGAGGAACCACTGACACTTTAGCAGATTGTCGATAAATACTCGTCAACTTTGGGCATACCAGGAGAGGAGATCATTCCTCTAGGGGAGAACCATCGGAGCATATGTCGATTCGGTGGTGAGACAGAGAGCTACAAAAACGTTTCCCGATCCCTGCGAAGAATCGCAAGAAACGCTCTAGCCAGAGAGCAGGCGTTCAAGCGAACAAGCATCCCTTCCTCTGACAGGAGTGAGTCGTTCTGGTTGCGAACCAACGTCCCAAGTGCCTAACACCTGCTAAGCTCTCGATGATTCCGAAAAGACCTGTTTCAAACAACTCGGAGTCTTTGACGTGGCGGACGTCAAAAGGATATCACCCTCACCAGCCAAGGGCACCTGCCAATGGATTCTAGGCCATCCTAGGTTCGTTTGCTGGCTTGATCAAACGGAAAATACCCTTCTGTGGCTTACAGGCCGTCCCGGCTGTGGTAAGACGATAATGTCGCTATTCTTGGCTAAACAGTTAGAAGAAGCTCGGTCAAATCGAGCTCCGAGCAATGTTTGCGTATTCTTCTGCAATGACAGACTCAGCGCAGAAGACATCTTGAATGGATTAATATTTCAGATCATCAGTCGTCATCGTTCACTCATCCGACATGTGAAGAGAGAGTTCGAGATTCAAGGCCAACACATGTTTCGGTCATTCACAACACTTTGGAATCTACTGGTCAAGATTGCAACAGATCCAAAATCTGCCACAACTTCTATCATAATTGATGCATTGGATGAGTGTAAGAAAATCACTCGCGATAATCTTTTGCTCTCGATTCGAGACTTCACGAACACATCAAGCGATTCAACGGGAAGCAAACAGCATGTCAAATTTATTTTGACTGGCCGCCCTGAGCTAGTTCATCTCGAGAAGAGCGTCGGCAACGTCGCTGAGCACGAAATTGTAATTGACGAAGGTCAAACAGGCTATGACAGAGACCTACGGATCTTCATCCAACAGAGACTGGACGAAATTTGTCAAAGACACAATTTGTCCCACGAGACGATGGAATTGCTTCGTCAATCACTCTACTCCAAAGCCGGCCAAACCTTCCTGTGGGTACATATGGTGCTCGAGTCATTAGAGAGCAGCCTGCTTGCGTCAAAGAAGGACATTCAAAACATCATTACGCAGATTCCACCGGCCCTGGAGAAGACGTATTTGTGCTTCTTATCCGAAATACCTTCTAAGTACATAAGCAAAGCTCTGATGCTCCTCAAGCTTATAGTGGGAAGCCTAAGACCTTTAACGTTAGATGAGATCAACATCGCCTTCGCAATAGATGCGACTCATCGCACGTTAGGAGAAGTTACATCGAACTGTCAACCTGCTATTTTACTCACCATCCAAGGTATATTGGGGCCCCTGGCCAGAGTATCGGACAATAAAGTGATGCTAGTCCACCCATCGGCCAAAGAATTCCTTTTACAACGTAAGAGCGCCGGTGGCGACTTTCCCGCGATATACGCGATTAGCGAGGAGGAATCTGCGGCTCTCACTGCATCCGCATGTATGCACTACTTGCTGCTCAAGGACTTCTCTGTGGATCTTTTCGAACTTGAAACTTCGCCTACCGAGTCTAATTCCGACTACTCTGATATGATCGAGGGCTCGGTGGTTTCCATACCATACGGCAGCTTTTGGAACGAAGGCACAGACGACCTCGATGCCTTTGGCTTGTTCAAAGACCCTGGTCTCCTTGATGCGGAGATATGCCAAGCCCTCGTTTCAAAATACGCTCTCTACCAGTATGCATCTCTACATTGGACTGAACATTTCGCCCTCTGCGAAACTACTGCACCTGTGGAGCTAAGAGAAACTGCCAAGAAATTACTTGATACAGAAACTCTTAACTGTTCCAACTGGCTGCGTGTCTTTTCCGCGGAGTTCGATGCAATTGGCCGCAGCATCCCTAACAAGCCTGATAAAGTCACTCTGGCGGCTTACTTCGGCCTCCACGAGACTCTTAACGATTTGGTCAGTAGTGACAAATCAATTCCCCCCGTACAGAGGGACCAGGCCTTGTTCTGGGCTGCCCATGAGGGCCATGTTAGGAATGTTAGCATACTCCTTGGAGTAGATGCAGATCCGAATGCTCGGAGTTCTAACAGGGAGACGGCACTCATCGCTGCTGCTCGGAACAACCATCTTAACTGTGTAGTCACCCTTTTGGCAGACCAACAGACTCATCTGAACATTCGAGGCCCGAAGGGGCGGACAGCGTTGGCATTTTCATGTAGCAGTGGACACGACCAGGTTGTCAAAGAACTGCTAAGTCGAAATGATTGCATGACTGAAGAGGAGGACGATAGTGGGGCCACTGCGCTATTTTGGGCCATTGGAGGTAGCTACATCTCAATCGTCTCCGAGTTGGCGAATCTTCCGACAGTTGATATAAACCATCGTGACAAGAAAGGCCGCACGCCCTTGTCCTGGGCAGCGGGAGATGGAATGGAGGAAGTCGTGAAGGTATTGCTCAATATGCGCGATATCGACTCCAACCTGGAAGACTCCAACGGACGATCACCTCTCTCCTGGGCAGCTGGTAACGGCTGCACAGCGGCAGTCAGAGTTCTCCTTCGAAACAATGAGGTGGACAAGGCAAGTCTTGACAAAGACCAGAGGAATGCAATCTCCTGGGCGAGTGCAGGTGGCCACTCGGATACACTGCGGATGCTTCTCAATCGCGGATGTCCGGGAGTCGATATCAAGGATGTGGATGGCTGGACTCCTCTGGCATGGGCAATTCAAAATGATTCTCCGGGCACTGTGGAAGTACTCCTTTCGAGCGGGTCAGTCAACCTAGAACAATCGGATCATAGTGGAAGAACACCACTATTTTGGGCGGTTGAATACGGCCATATTGAGGTTATCAGGATACTTTTGCGCGAAGGCGCTGACCCAGAAAGACAAAGCCATAAGGGCGAAACGCCACTCATTAGGGCAGAGAAAGTCGGACGAGCTGATATCTCAGACGAACTTCTCAACCATGTGAGGCAAGGAGGCAGCATGACGCATTTCGAGCAACGAAGTCAGGTACCAAGTGCGATGCGTAGGTGACTTGGTCTCAAGGTGGGGTTAATTGCGGTTAAACTATTGTTAAATTCGCGGGTAGAATTACGATCTCCGTGCCGAGAATAAACAGTAGTCCTATAGATGGTTTCCGCAACCGCTGGCACCAATGTCCCGCATAGGGCTAGTAAAGACGCTTTTAAGAACATGATGAATACTCCGTAGCTTTAATACTATAAAACTCGAACCAATAAATTCGATCCGAGGAGTAGGGCATATTTCCTATTAGACCATGATAATTTCCTGTAGATAGCCCTGCTAATGAAAAGATCACAAGCCAACGATTAACGCATTTAACTGAGTGTACCTATGCTTCTATCTGGACTTCTAGCTCCTCAAACTTCTGGCGTAGCGTAATCAAACCCGGATGTGAGGGTTCACGATTAGTGGAATCGGAACAGTTTGAACGTTATCGAATTGCTAGAGAAAAGAAGAAGAAGAGGAAAGAACCTCTCTCCTGGCGGCGTATCTACTTCCGCACCTTTGCAATAACACAGACATTAGCCTGAGGCCATACTATATAGCATAGTAACATGAACAAAGGCAAACTCCTCCAGGCCGCCAGGGCAACAACTAACAGTCTGGGCGCATAGCCCTTATCTCAGCTGGGACTCAGCCGGCAGATGATTCCCCCTGCTAATGTGGCGTTCCGCTATACCCGTAAAGGCCCAGCCGCTTCTCTTAGCTCTATCCACCAAAATTCGACCAATCATATCCCATAAAAGCAGTGGGAACCACTGCCGTCTAAGAACCTTCTGCATCGTTTGTGTGAACGTGTGGTTTGAAAACCGACTTTTGTTATATACGCAGAGAGTGACTCCCAATACAATTTGTTTTATACGCGTTCTTGACATTTTCCCTTCCTAGGCACGTTCTCCACGCCGAATATAATATATAGTCCAACTTTGGGACCTATCCGAGCTTTCCACATTGCAAGACCGTGTCATCTTGTTTTCAATATGTCCCTCGCATTATCACTCTCAAGCGAATTATCAGACATACCGACGAGCGACGTATCTTCCGTACCATCTTCGCCTATCGAATCTCTTCCATCGTTACCAACAACTCCACAAGCCCGTCGAACTTCTCCTACGCGATCTCCGACCCCATATCGGAAGTTTAAACAGTACCGGTATGTGGGAAAGCAGAATGATGGCGGTCAGTTCAATAAGGTGCGCGAAACATTGGTACTTTGGCGCAGGCTCCGCATCAATTTCAAGAGTTTTCTTCGGCTTTGGTTGCTATCTAAGAAGTCCCACGGCAACTTGAGCAGAGATATAAGGACTGAGCAGTTCCGCGAGGTCTTTGCAGAGCAGGACGTACGCTGTATTCTCGGCGAGATGCCCTCTAGTTCCTATGATTGGAAACAGATCTTCACCGAACTTGAGGGGCTATCAGACCATAGATATTTCAATACATTTATGTCTGAAAATGCCCATGAGTGGTGTATTGATCTAGATGAGGTTCGAGGCATTATCCAGGAACAGGCACCAGAATGGTTCAAGTTCCTAGACCTACTGCTTCGAAACCGTCGGAGTACAGAACCCTTAGTACGAGAGCAACTACCGAAAGGCATCATTGGGCAGATGTATATGATAACCGCGGTGGTATGTCGTAGTCGGCAGCGCAAGACCTCAAACGCGTTCGCAAAGCATCTTGGGCTTTACCTACTCTCTAGTGGGACCAAACGCAGAGTTATTGAAACGTTTGCAGGTATGGGACTCTGTGATACATACCATCATATCAATCTTGAAACATCAGGTATGGCGGAACACGCGAAGGCATCTAAATATACAGTCTTCCATCCTTCCAAGGTTGCTAATTATATTATAGAAACATCTCCCCCGCCTGGCTAGGGATCCGCAGACAGTCATTGTTTATGACAATTTCAATTTCAAAGATACCGTACGAGAGCAAGTTGTCGGCTCGAACCATGTTATGCGAAACATGACAACATGACTGTTGGTAAAGAATCCACATCTACCGCGTAGAGGCCGGTTAAGATCACAGTTCAGACCTGATAACCAACTCCGTCTTGAGGACATATGCAATGCGCCTGGGCTTGATCGTGGCAGGATTAGCACTCAGATGCATACCTTCTTGGTCTATGAGGCCATTAGACACGTACACCAAGAAAAGGTCGATGCGGCGTTCAAGAAAGATCTATCTTTGGTTCCCTGCTACCCGGAAATTAAGCGATTACAGGCGAAGGGATATGCCACCGAACTCCACCATCTCCAGGCTGCTCCATTTGACGAAGGAACAATTGACGGAACATATCAAGTTCATACTAATATATGGCTTGACCGGCTCCGCTTCAAAAGCAATCCTCCAAGTACCGACTTCGACGAGCGACTCTGGTTAGTCTGGAGCGACCAAAAAACAGCACAACATATTCGAAGCTTAAAATCTGCTCAACGGAATGCAACCTTACCCTTCGACCGGCGAGAATGTATGCTAGGTCCATGCGCGCTTTTCCACGTCCTCCAGAACCTGGTCTTGACAATTATTCGAACACATTTCGAAGGGGAAAAGGGCACGTCCGATGCAACGCTTCTATCAGACATTCTCTATTTGGGTCGGAAAGGATACTCGCGTGAATCCCCCAAATTTTATCTGTTTGATCCGTTGCTAAAACAATCGTTCTCGGCACGGATTCTTATGGTATAGTATCATGTGCTTACCAAACGGGGCCATTTACAGAGGGCAGGTATGAACGTCACTATTGGAAGTGAGGTTCTAGATGCTGTCATTGAAAGATTAGGTCCGGTTGAGCTGGCCTCATCTATCCAAGAAGTCGTAACATTGACTTTCTCTCACGATGCGTGGACAGAGAACAGATATGGTGTCGAGTTTAAGAATATGAGCCGCCTCCTTCCGTTGATCGGGATCTTTCTTACCCTTCGGCGAGCGGTTAAGACGGGAGATATTGGATGGATTAACAGGCTGATTGATCCTTTAGCCATCATATTCTATGCTACTGGTCAACATAAATATGGTGACGAAATGCTTCATCTTCGCTGGATGTTGTTAGATCGTGTTTCGGACGAGGCACTTCGGATCGTAATTCTATCGTCTAGCCTTGTGAACATTCAAGGTAAAACGGATCAATTTAAACCGATTGATATTGCCCCTGAACACGTCAATTGCGCATACAAGATTGATATCAAGATGTTTAAGAACTCTACACACGATGCGGATAAAACCTTTGGAAGAGTGGCACTACTCAGCCATTCCTTTACCAAGATTCGCGCAGCCTGGGAAACCTCAGTTGGCATCGCCCCTACCGATCGACATACGAATAAAGATGATCGTCAAGATGTCTTCAGCCGTGCACTCTACCTCTACCTGAAATATGTATTGCAAAAGTTTGTCACTACCAGGCGTCCTGGATATCACTCAGGAGTTAAAGTTTGGTACGTGTTTAGCTCGGAAAATACACATTACATTGAGTAACCGGCCACAATATTTTCCGCGCGCCAAAAGAGGATCCTGATCTGGCTCCTTCACATAAATCAAAGACAGCAGTTTTCTGCTGTCCTTGATGCTAGATCGACCGGAATAGATGCAGATGGGATCAACCTAGGCGAACATACTCAGTACGTTCTCCTGATGGGTTAAACCCCTGGGACCCCCTCACCCACCGAGCTCCATTCTCTTTGCGCAATAATACTACGATTTGCCGCTAGGCAAAAGTAGAAAAATAATAAAAGCATAGCCATTTCTCGGGGCATTCCGTAACTATGGATATATATATAATGCTAAGTAGTTATAACTTGTGGTCGAGTCAATCTGGCCGTCGTCCCAAACAGGCCTCTGGCCTAAATGGGCACCGCTCCCCATGCTGACCGAGCCCAATCAGGCTCCTTAACCCAAATAGCCATTTATCGCAGTCCAGTATCCATACTGTTCTAGCCTCACGAAACAGACCCAGGCAACTTGTCGCAAGATGCCCCTGTTGATTTCAATGCCAATGAACAATCCTATCGGCCACCACTGCAGGTGTCCTTTCTAGTCCCGCCTCCACACAGGACAACCGACAAATCATATTTTGAGCGCAGTGACCATGGTAGGCGTTTCATCCGCAGTTAGCAGTTTTGATGGACTGAGGTTAGCTCTCCGGACTCATCAGCACAGTGAATATAATGCTTCATCGTCGTCTAGATAGTGGCTCGGGAAGCGGCCTGCTATTACCCAAGAAGGAGGAATATTGTCATCTTTAGGCCATTCTCCGGCACAAATAAATCTGTAGGGAAAATGTCCTGGAATTTCGCAGGTCTCTTGAAGGGGTTTTACAGGTTATTTTCCCTCAGCTGGGACCTACGTGACCAGAAACCTCTCACTTGTTTGAAGCCTCAAGCTTCAGTTTGAACTGGTATTTCGAGCTCTTGCACTTTTCACCTTTCATGAACGACCCTCTTGCCAATTATAACTTGAAGCTTGCGCCTGCCACCTGCTATCCTTATGCGACGTCTACATCTTAAGCGCTCATTATGTCGTCGTCCCCGAAAACGTCCGCGACGCCCTCCAGAACCCCCGATCCTCTGAATCCGCTACAAGGTTCTACAATGCCTTCACGCAATCGGTCACTAGGTCGCGACGTCCATATCTACGATGCTAACGACCGCACTACTGTTCTCGGTGGCTTAATCCTTACAAATGGCGTCACGAATGCCAACTTCTACTCAATGGTGGAGATTATCGTCTTGTTCATAACTGATTTCGAACTACAAAACGAAGAGAGCACCAAGATCCAAAAGACTGACGATCCGCTTCGGCCGGGGAATTACTACATTCATGCCGCTGGTAAGTGTCTACAGCCATCTTATCATACCTAGGCTAATCTTTGCTCCGAATATAGGTTCTTTCTCGGTTAACAACGAGTCGTGGCTAGTCCGTACAATATCTCATGCCAGTGGAACTCGTACCCAGTGTTTCCGCGATGCTGTACGCTCACGAGATCGTCGGTGCGTTATATCTGGGGAGGTGGCAATCTCGGCGCAATTCGACCGCTGGGACGGCTTTGAGGCCGCGCACATATTTCCAATAGCCTACGAAGGTCATTGGAAGGATCATGGCTACGACCGCTGGATTACTATTCAACCAGACAACGGCGGAGCAATCAACTCAGTACAAAACGGGTTATTGCTTGATTCTTCCGTACACCAACTCTTTGACAATTACATCTTCTCTATTAATCCAGACGTATGTATGTTATACTCTTGTAGCGGTATTCTGGCTAACTAACATTATTCCAGGACGATTATAAGATTGTGTTCTTTGACCTTGATAGAAAAAGTCTTGCCGGCAAGAATCTCGACCGACAGCTACTTGATGATCCTCAACGGCCTATTGATCAGCTACTACGATGGCATTTCAGGCAGGCTGTTCTAGCAAATATGAGAGGCGCTGGCGAGCCTTACTTTGAGCATGACTTCCCTCCTGGCTCCGACATAGTTGGCGATATACTAAGTGGCTCGAAGGCTGCTGAAAGGATGGAGTTTGAGTTATTCAATCGCCTGGCAGCTCAAGTTCCAGTGCACGGCATATCTCAAAGTCAACAGAAGGCTGGGCAAGACTCCGGGTGAGGGCTTGGCGGCGCTAAACCCGAAATGAGGGAGACTAAACCGGAAGAGGGAAGTTACCAGCTCCTCAGTCTCCCTACTTAACTAAAGATGCTGGTAGAACGTCCTGAGAATTCTCAGGTTCCTAGAGGGGGTTTTGCAGGATATTTTCTCTCAGCGCTTTCATCCTTGTGCCAAGACACCCATAGTATTGATGTCTGTGTTACTAGTAGTCGACCAATCAATCCCTTCCCTGTGACGCCCGATATCTTAGGGGCACCTCTGCCTCCTTGTTGGGACTTTTGTGTCATTGATACGTCCTTTGCTGCCGCCCAAATCTTTGAGGAGACAATCCAATCGGTTACCGGTCCTAAAAGCAAGGCACAGCCAGAATGGCGACTTCTTCTGCTGTTGATGTTCTGGACTACGGACTGGAACTGGGCTCCTACTACAACACTTCTCTAGGAAGAAGCTGACCGCGCTCCTACACCTTCATTTTCCCGCAATTACATTATGGAAGATGTTGACCTGTTAGGACTGAACGCATTTGAAGAACAAGTCCAAAAACTAGGAGATGTGAACAGTCGAGGGGAGACAGCAACTCGCTTGAACTACGCATCAGTGATGAATAAATGGAAGCGGTAAGCTCTGTTATGGGCACGGCAATGAGCACCAGCCGACTAACGGAATCCCCAAGGTTCTGCAAGTATCGAGAATATTCCGAATCCCCAGAGGAACGGATGAAGATGGCAACAAGCATCGACGTCATTGTTTTCTTGGTGTACATTATAGAGACCGGTCGGATCGGGACGCCCGTATCATTGAAAAACTATTACACTCGGTTCAGTGCGATTCGACATCAGAAGTTCTCGGACGCAGTTCCGTGGACTAAGACGCAACGAAAGTCCATAACCACTGTAGGTGCATATGCGACGGCCTTCCGTGTAACTGAGCTGAACTGGCTAGTACATCTTCGATATATTCGCGCAAAAGTACAGGTTAAGCAACCTTCGCGAGCCTGCTTCAGTGATTGACTTCAAGGATCTGTGTACGATCTTGGAAACGCACTGGGAGCGGTTGGACTTGTTCTTCAAGAACGGCTGTATGCGTCTACAGTTCGCTTTAGCGATCTTGATCCACGCTTATACTGCGACTCGGCCAGGCGCTATCCTGTACGGCCTACCTCATGTGCCAGATGAAGAACCGGAGCCGTAGTACACGGAATTCAACCTTACCGAACTAAGCAAGCTACGCTGCCTATGCTACAAGCACATCACGATCAAGCTGGTAAAGTATGAGGATCCTACCATGAGGGATCTGTTCTATGTCGACATCGATCTTAAATGGACTAAAGGAATCAAGCGGCACGGTAACCGGTGAGGAGACTTGCAAGTTTATATCTCTGCATGGCTTGAGGCTAATCTGCGAGCTGTCCAGGAATATTTTCATTCTTACAAAGAGTGCTGTTCCAATGTTGTGTCCCGTGCTCCATATCCTGGCTCTTGCAATCATCGATGGCGCGCTGGAAGTCGAACCGTTCTCGGATTCAGCAGCTGCACCGCGACGACTTTTTCGTACGAGGGTCGGAAATGTTGTTGAGACTAGGACTATACACATTAAAGACTTATGTCGTGAATGGCCCATTTTCCGGGCCCCTGAGGATGATGTTCTTCCGCTTTCCCGGGGCGCTTACAACGGCCAGCAGCAACGATTGGGATTACATGCTGGGTATCCCCAACTGCTGCGATCATACGACTTTCGACGAGGCGCTGGCGAGGTAGTCAATAGTAAGCTGTTGGTTTCTCTCCTGTCATTATCTGGCTGACCGTGTTTATGAAGGAGTTGCGAGCCAAGGAACGCTCCAGCAAGTAATGGGCCGTCGCGATGGTGGGATTTACCAACACTACATCAATCCGCGAGTAACCCTAGACGTTTAAGCCGCCTTCCTTCACGTTCCTTCCAATAAATCTTTATTCCAGACAGTGACGCACTTGAGGACCCGTCGCGACCCCCGCGCCCCAGCCCGTCTCTCAGCTAACGCGAAACTCGAGGTGAAGGAGACGCCGGAGTTTCGAGAGAAATGCCGGGTGCGAGATCGATTTTGCACAGAGATTCGTAAGACGTATGGTACCATCTTAAACGCAAAGGCCACCAACCCTGATAAGCCTTTACTGAAGCAATATTCGGAGGCGTTAAAAACAGTCAATAGCCTTCGCCAAAAGCTAGAGAGGGAAGCCTTGAATGCACTTCGAGCTAACTACTTTCGAAACAGAGACACAGTCGAGATCAACGCCGAGTTCCAGGGCGGTCCTAGAGAGCAACAGGAAGAGTTTAGCACTAAAGATGCGCCTACTGGCCACCCACAAGTGATTGCCACAGGCAAGCTAATCATCAAAGGCTTTTCTCATCCTGAAATCAGTGGGGATATCCAGACGGGAGAGCGAATCCATGTTCTTGAGTAAATGGCCCGATTGGGCAGGGTGACGGAATGCTCGAGACGAGAGCGGAGACTGATCCCGAGTGGACAAGAGACCGAGGTTAAGGTTGATGCTATGTTAGAAGAAGACGTTAAGTCAGAGAGTGATGGGCCAACGCCGTTGTTGCTATCGCAATGCATCTTCTGCCGACATGATCAGACTCTCCCTCCCAGTATCCGGATCTATGAGTTCTGTGCTGCCTACAAAATGAGGGAGCACGTCGAGAAGATACACCTACGCGCTGAGGGTGCCATATCATGTCCAGATCCGTGCTGTCATGACTTGGAGTTCGACAGCCGGATGCACTTCAAGAATCATGTGGCTACAGTACATAGTATCCGCCTTCATGGTACGTGCTTCTTCAGATAATCGGCGGTGTTTCTGCTAACAAATAGCGAAGTTGACAAAACGATGCAGTACGCTCAGGTTTCATGGGCGATGAAATGACGAATAAGTCTTTCGAAGCATAGTTCTAACTAGTTTCATTTTATGGATAGGCTACCGTACTAGATCTTCCTTTCCATTCCCTTTACCTTAGGTCACGTCGAATGGACATCTGGATTTCCTAGAGTATCCGCTAGTAGTAATTAGTGGTTGAATTCCCTCTGCTACCTTGCCTGCCCACTGAATAAGGGTTCGTAGCACGCGATATAGAAAGTGATATCGCTATAATTGGGTGGTAGTTTATTGTCGTAATTGAGGGTTTGGTTAGTTCCCTGGTTTGGTTTAGTGCTGCCCGACTGGGTAGGTCTAATTATCTGTTGGAAATCAGTGTTTATTACTTGGTCATCACACAAGATTCCTTACCTTATTCTGTATCTTACGTAATCCTGGGTATATCTACATTGCAAGGTTTTCTACCTTTGACAAATACAAGTAATTAATGGAACTTGGTAATCGCAGACCTTGCGCATCCAGACCGTGTCAATATTATTCATATTATTCGTATTCGTTTCGGACCTCTAGGATCCTCATGCTTTACCAGCTTGATTGTAATGTGCTTGTAGCATAGGCAGCATAGCTCACTTAGCTTATTCAGTCTCCAGAGCCCCCGGTTGTGTATATAGTCTGGGTAATTCTCGTCTTCAGTAAGTGTTTGGATAAGCTTTCTCTATCTCGTCCGGCCGTCACTACCCATCTTCCTCCTTAGGGCTTGGAGGTTGATTTTCTCAGCACCAGATTGAGAAGAAGGCAATATTTAATGAACGGCCAATGGCGCACCGCTCGCACTGAAAGACGGAGGAGGCAATGTTCCAGGACTTGGAGACCGGACGGTGGGCTCGTGTTGCTGAGTGGCACTGTGATGCTACACAGCTGCCAGCTTATTCTCGTACTTCAGTGCGATCCCCTTCACGCTGCGTCAGTGACCATTGGATCTTAGTTGTACTTCACACCGTGTACATGGATTGCAGCATCATCGGCTACCTACATGGGCCTCGCAGAGAGGCCTGACGGGCGTATGAATATCAATTAATCAATCTCCTGATTCCTTAAGGATCAGTCTCGTCTTAAACGCAGTGTGCAACCAATACAGAATTCACTATTCACTTGCGATTCGTCTACGAATCGCAAGAGACACACCATTTTGTATCACGCTAGCTCACCCAACGCGTGCTGTGACATGCGGATCTGGGAAAATACCGTAGAATGGGGCGCAATCTAGCGGCCAATACTAGAGTAGGAATTCGTTGCTGAATCCACCTCCTATTTCCAACATTGACAACGTACGACGCCTTGAATAATTAACAATGAAGGACCCGAGCACTATGGTACCGCATCACTTCAGCACTAGCCGCCTCATATCCTCATATTCTTATCGCCCTAACTTTCCACTTCTCCGTCACTTCGAATTTCAAACGCCTATCCCGGAAGCGCCACGGATCAATAAAGAATCTGACACCAATCTGCCCGCTCAGGAGATTATACACGCGGACGATGCAGTAGACTCGATTAGCGTCAGGGGGACTGGGAGTGGTCTCATTTTGTTGAGTTTGAATTTGAATTTGTCCAAGTTTAACTTTCCTGAGAGATCGCATCTAATGACAATGAAGGCGGGGATTGGTTAGTAGGGGCTTTTCGTACGGAAATAGCGTAGTAATCGTAGGGATCAGGGATTAGGGGATAGGAAACTCTGGTGTGGTATGGTGTGGTGAAGATAAAGATTAAGGCTTACCAAATCGTACTGATCCTGGCTCATAATGAAGTCCGTCTCACATGGCCCGATGGAGGTTTTGACTTCGAATAACCATTCAAGGCAATCCTGAGATGCATAAGTACTTGCTCGGACACAGTATCTTGAGGACTGAGAGGAAGCAGTTCTGTATTGAATTAAGTTCTCCGTACCTGGTCCTCGTCTTCTCCCAGATCTGCAAGCGAGTCCGGCCACCAATCTTGAAACTCGTCGCCGATGATCTTCGACTGCAAAGTCCTGCCGAGCAAGTTCCTTTGGTCTTTGTACACGATGTCTGCGGTCTCGCGCTTGTCCCATATCGATACGTACTTGTACTCGTTGTGGGCTTGAACCAAGTGTCTTATCCTGCTCTGCCAGTGTTGAAGGTCGAGGGTGTTGGATGTTAAATGTCGCAGCAGTTCGTATACCTGCATCATAAGGTGTTAGCAAATGTTGCTTAGGCATACGAGATCGGGAAGACTTACAAACAGCTCGCCGGCGGCGCCGATTCGGCGTTTGCTGAGCCAAAAGTCGGCACCAAAGAGGCTTGGATAATCAGAAGGGTCGAATCTTGTGCTGTGAACGGTCAAAGAGGCGAAATACCGTGTGAAATCGTCTGTTGCTGGGCTTGAAACGTCCCGGAAGTCGCTTCCTGCTGATTCGGCTTGCTTGTGTACATGCTCCAGGACTTTCCAATAGTCTGGTGCTTCAACTGCGTGATTGGGTATCTCAGGTAGAGCATGTCTTGGTGGGCCTTCAGTCTTTCCGTTGACGAGGTTGGATGACCGTCTGGTCAAGGATTGTGGCTGTGGCGGTGTCTCAGTCTTAGATTCCAAAGCAGGTGCCGAACGAGATGTTTCGGCCAGCCATTCCACCCGCGAAATCTCTTCTTCGAGCAGGATTTCCTCTGTGCCAGACTCAAGCTCGTTGATGATTCGGTCGATCTGCCTTTCACCTCGGGAATCATAGATGTGCAAGAGCCCTGACAGGTATCCGGGAAGCTGGCTGCGCATGCTTTGCTTTCTCTCCGTTCTGGCCAATGGTAGAGTGATAAGTAGCCCAGCTTCATCTCGTTTCATGATTAGTGATGGTTTATCCCACTCAACTTTGACTGCAGTGTCATCTTTTCCGACCACGAGTTTAACAGACATGTCGGCCGAGGTATGGACAGTGGCAGTCGCGAGATCGTTGTACATCTGCTTGTTTTGGTTTGAAAACATAGGGCTTCGGTGCGAGATGGCACAGCTACAAGAGCATTAGAGTGTTCTACTACCAATGAAAGTTGAATGTAAGCCTTACCATGATATAGCATACGCACATTGACGAAATTCGCGTGTGAGTGCGTTGTCCACGGTCGATGTCTCGGCTGAAGTCTCACGACGTACATGTCTTGCGAGGTAGCGGTCGTCGAGGCGAAGGATTCTGAACAGTTCGTGCAAGAAAATCAAGTGCTCGTATGCGAAGTCGAGCATGACCAACTTGCCACTGAATTTCTCTGCATAGTACTTGTTATCCGCGATGAAGAAAGTTTCTTCCATCGAGCGAAACATGTCTTGACCTGAAGGTGATTTGCAAGGCAGATATTTGCTCTGCTGCAAGATCTCTATGCTTGTTCCGAATTGAGAGCTTTGGCTGCTGACGTCAAGCAATTCTGACGCCGACAACATGAGTCTTTTGATCTCATCAGGGTTCTTGAATGACTTAGCCGCTACGGCAGCCAGTTGCTTCATCATGAAGACATCAGTGACAGTGCTGACGCCAAGGACGTTGACAAAAAACTCCTTCAATTTCGGGTACATGGCGGCAATCGGTACGTGATTTCCGATCTCGATAGTCATATGCCAGATGCAAGAAGAGGATTTCAGCCATTTATTGCTGTTGCTGTTGCTGTTGTAGATAAGGGCATTTTCCTTAAAGATAGAACTGCAGTTGTCAGTATGTACACATGCTGATACGATAGTCTTGCTTACCGGAGCGACTGCTTGCCCTTAGTAGTGTCGGCCATATCTTTGAGCAAGGCATAGATGGCCAACGCACGATCGATAAGTGTCTCGCCAGCTCCATATGATGGAGCATCCTTTATGAACTGGAGCTCGTCGATTAAACAATCAATTGTAGCGTCGCCGGTCTTTAGGTATATGTGGAACAAGCCAGAAATCGCAGATTGGTCGTACTTCGATGTCAAGATAAACTTACACATTAATGGAATATGACTTTTCCAAACACATTCATCGAGAGTGCGCCATTTGCTGCTAGCCGGGTCCCAAACGAGGGTCCCTTCTTTAAATTCATCCTGGGAGCTGTTAGCAACGTTTGTACGAAGGATCTCCTCGTACCTTGAGAGCTGGCTTGTCTTTGAGAGTAACTCGATCGCCTATATCCTTGTATAGCCAGCCCATCTCTGTGACACCAATGGCTGGTGGTTCTCCTGCAATAGAGAGCAGGGAAAGAGCTTGCCTGTAGAAAGATAGGTCAGGAGCTGAACCGACTCCTAACTCGGTCAAAGAAGGCCATTGCGATATTAGGTGGTCGTCTGTGGACTCTGGCAGGGCGAGAATCGGTAATCTCTTCTCAACACCGTATTTCCGTGCAGTTTTGACGATCAGAGGGGTGGGAAACCAAGTCTTTCCGAGCTCTTCGAATCCACCGTGTTGGCAAAGCACCTTGCACTTTATGAGCGCTTGTTTGATATTGCTGTTGAATCGGCAAGTGTTGCTGTACTCCTGCACCCAATGATGCTGGATCATAGGAACAAAAGCTGCCGAGTTTTTGTCCCGAATGGTTTCAATCATCCAGTGCAGCTTATTTCCATCCGTTGAATCTGAGAGGGTTGGATACCATCTAACACCAGCCGTGTCGCACAGCCATTGCTCCCAGGTCTTGCCACCACGAGATCTGGTCGAGACTGGGGATGCTTGGTACTTTTCGTCCAAGAAATATGTGTTGTACTCCGAATTTTCAGCCAGCCTCAGAAGACATTCCGCATGATATGGTTGATCGGAACGCATAAACAATCCATTGGAGTTTGCAAAGGTTCCACCAGAGGTGCCTGCAACCAAATTGGACCGTGCTTTGATTGAGAGTTCGCGAGAGAACCAGAACAGTAGTTCGAAGTAACTCAGAAAGTTGCGGATGAGCTTGTCTTCGGATGTCGTCTGGGCCATCTCTATAGCATCGCAGAGAGTATCCGGTGGGCAACTGCGCACCCCGAGCAATTGATACACTTCTCGCCGGGAAGAATCTTTTGCGGCATCCGGATGTAGAACGACAAGATCGATGCCCCTCGGCATTTCAATTTCAATTCGCTCGAGCCCGGTCCCCTCGTCAACGACAGTTGGTAAGTAGACATTTGGCCCTGGTTGCCGCCATTCCAGCTTATTTTTTACACGAACGGGCAATATGGGCATCTGGTCAATCTTGTCTTTCCATATACTCTTGGTGCCGTGGCTTAGAGCATACTGAATGAATGCCAGGAATGAGTTGTGCCACCGATCTTCCAGTGGCTGTTTCTGAGTGATCGAGCTGCTGCTTGATATATCATCGTTTACAAGTTCCAAAGCCTCGTTGTATGCCAAGCCTTTGACTCCTAAGGACTTTAAAGTCGAGATTTGAGAACTGCTGTACTTGGCCGATAAAAATCGCCACAACCCACTCAATTTTGGCAGTAGAGGATCCTTATGATGCTCGAACTGTTTTGGTAGAATTCGTAGCATGCTTGATTGATGCAGAGTTCCAGCTCGCGAGTAGAATAGTTCTTGGGTTGACAAGTGCTGATGGATGAGGTCCTGCAATGGTTGCCAGAAGCCATTCATGGGTTGTGGGATGTAAGCGAGCCATTCATATGACAGTTTATTGTCCTTTGACACGATATCCTTCACTGCAGAAGCAAAAAGGGCCGCAATTTCGTCCCTTAACTTCCTGTTCCACGGGTTGTTTTTAACACTTTGCCGGTTTCCGGGCAACAAGAAGTCTGCTTGTATAAGGAAGGGCAATTGCGCCATTTGCATGACCGGTAAATAAGCAAAAACAAATTGGCCATTCGGCTCAATTGTTGGTGAGCCATTAGCCTGCGCTGTTACTGGAAATCCGATCTTGATGATGGACACAGACTGGGAGCGTTCGATTTGTTTCGGCATATCTGTGACTTTCTCTTCGAAAGTCAGATAGAAGTGATCCGGTTCCTCGCCTGCCACGGAGGAAGTAATCCTCGTAATTTTTTTGTCTTCAGATAATGACTTTTCGAGGGTGATTATACGGCTTAGTCCCTCAACGGTCAAGTTGATAGAGATCTTTCTGAGCTTGCGCAAGGCAAAGAGGAGGCTTGGATGCAGAGCCACCAATTGCGTCGAGATGTGTCTGAATTTCTCCAAGCTGTCCTCTTCTGACATTGAATATCTGAGTCTAAACCGAGTTTGGACGCCGTGAGGTAGTGGCTTGCGTTGTTCCCATATAGGTGTAATCATGCCTAGGCCATCCTGGTGGCGCTGGTGCTCGAAGCGGAATGACCAGAGACAAGACTGGACATGTACTTGATCTGCAACACCGAAAACAGCCTTAAACCCAAATCCTTTCTCCCCGGTTGATTCCTCGTCAAGCTTTTTAGAACTTTGACCCGTGTCACAGATAGACAGGACGTCCGTTAAGTGAAATCCGATCTCATTAATACCGACATGGAGTTCTTCGGGGAAGACTGTGAAAGTCATCGTAGGCATGTCTTCGTTCTGGGCGTACGTTGCGTCGTCGGCGTTTTGGATGAGCTCGAAGAAGAATCGAAACTGGTCGTCATAGAGCTCGTTGGACATGCTTCAAGGTCTTAGTGACGACTGAATCGTGTTTTGGGTTAAGTGCTAGGCTTACGCTTTCGTGAATCGAGCCAAATTTTCGCGAGAATTGCTCGCAATCATTCTCATCTTTTTCTGGACGGTCGAATTCATCTTCTGCAGCTCCGTTTCATCGTCGCCGTCGAAGACGCAATGCTGCACTCTAATACAGCTGAGAATATTCACCACATCCTCTTCGTTCTTTGGCTCGGCCAAGGACCGACCATAAAGCTCATAGTAAAAGTCTGAGAGCTTGCTGTTCGCCATAACAGTATTGTTGTCTACTATTGCCGTTGAAAGGCTGACGGGGGGGCAGGCGACAGGAAGGCGGGCGACCTAATCCATCTTATGCGCAGCTAGATGGAGACTGCTGACCGCCTCCTTGTTAACACCATCAGCACAGCGGAAGTTTCGATACCGAGTCACCAGGCCTAGCAAGCGAGGCAGACTTCTGTTTCGCCCTGGCCGAAGGTTTATGCATGACGCCCTTTCGTCAACGCCTTTCACGTAGTACACAGGCCGCTTTGATAGCCGGGAGTTGGTGACATGTTTTGCAACCCTGCTCCAGAGTGCATTAGTGGAATGGGGCGCATAAGCATTAATGAACCTGCATACACCTGAGCCTGCTGTGCCGCAATCTTGACTGGAAGCCGCCAATCAGTAATTAAATCGTGCTAGGGATGTAGCCTCCTGCCCTTTAATCTTTGGATGAATGTTACCTTAGTTTACGGTCTAATACGAAGATTGTTTCGAATTGGTTGAACTAGCAGGCGGATGGACCGATTCAAATCTATACAATAGGTTGACCATTTGGAAATGTACCTGGGCATGAGGGTAGTTGCTGTCCCGCAATGAGATGTATCGTTGCCAGGGTGCGCCACCAACTTGGGGTTGAACCTTCACAAGTCCAAGCCTGTGGGTACACCTTAATAGATTTGGAGTCCTGTGGCAATATGGCATGACAATGGATTTCGCATGTATATATATTGACGTTTTTTTCTTTTCCCTCTTTCATTCTCTTCTTCATCTTTCGTTTAGTCCGATACTAGCTAGGTAGCAATAGTCTCCCTCGAGACAGATCTTACTTCTTCGTACTGTAACAAATGCTTCAAGTTATTTAGCAACTTCAGGAGACACGTCTGCCCCAATGATATGGGTTTCGCTGAATTGTTAATTGAGAGCGTTGTCTTGCCGGATTTGCTTGCCGGATTATTATGTAGCTCCTCGAGTTGCCCTGCTGGGACCAGGCCATTAAAGATAGGCTCGAGTGTGTTAAAGAAGACCGTAGATTCCGTATCCAGATCATGTTCCAGGATTTTAAGCTTAGTATTATACTTCATAGCTCTTCTAACTCTCTACACTAGGTCGACCTAGTGTTCGATGGCTGAGATGACGAGCGGGAGCAAAGCGAAACACGACTCTAACAAACTTGAAACCTGAGATTCGGCGAAAAGCGGCCCGAGCCGAGGAAAGTGGAGGTAGAGCTGGTAAGTTCCCTATTCTGGTTCAGCCATCCCTGTTTTAGGTTTAGCACCTCCGAGCTCTCACCCCGAGCATTGCCGAGCCTTCTTCGATGTCACAGGCTCACAGCCCGCGTTGGGTGAGCTAGTGTGATACAAAATGGTGTCTCTTGTGATTCGCAGACCAGTCGCAAGTGAATATTAAATTGTGTATTGGTTGCGCACTGCGTTTAAGACGAGACTGACCCTTAAGGAATCAGGAGAGAAAGAGAGAGAGAGAGATTCATACGCCTGTCAGGCCTCTCGGCGAGGCCCATGTGGGAAGTCCAGGGTGGCTATTTAGGCAAATACAAGCCATTCCGGCTTGGCTGGTGAGATTTTACATCCCCGCTAGTAATGGTGGAAATTACTCGCTTAACTGGGCCTCGCGCGCAATGTCATATCTTCTTCTGCGAACAACCTCAATATTTCAATGTATTCCTTATTAAGCCTATCTTCTTTCTACTGACGTCGCTGTCTCTTGCGCGGGCTAAGTCCTTTCCAAGCATTTGAAGCCGTCTCTGCTGCAGCGCGCTTAGGACGCTATCTATGCACATCCCCAGACCCAAAAAGGGGATTTTGAGCATTGACTTGTGCAAATTTTTCAGCGTAGAAGGCTTCTATATCTCCAAAGTGATAGTTCCATGCCATTGTTGGAGTGCAGGAAGCATACACTCCCCTTATAGCGAGAGCCATATTCCGTGCTTCGATCAGTTCTGCCGAGTCATTTTCTTGTCCTGTCTCGGTCAAAAAATTGGTCACTGTGCCAAAGTCACTGCAGTTATGCAGAACAGGCTGAAGCCGTCGACGCTCGATGTCAGCAAAGAACTCTTCCAACGACGGAGGTTGCCAAGTAGGCTGAAGAGGGGAAGGTATCGGGACAGGTGTATGGGTCAACATAGACTGGTTATCTAGTGATGTCTTAATTGAACTCCTCCTATTCAAGTGCTTCTCTCTGATTGCCTTCCTCTCGCTGCGGATATCGGTGGCAGAGACTAGCGTTTCCGGGTCCTCCTTTTGAATAGCAGCCATTATCTGCATCGGCCGTACCCCCGCATGTGTCATTGATTTAATTATGTCTTTCTATACTGATATACGCCTGCGATAGACATTATGCGCACTAGGGTTAAGTGATCGGGGGTGGTTATGATGCTTGTGTATAATCTCTAGCTTCCACTGGTCGTCGCTTTTGTTCTTGAATACAACAAGCCTAAAGATACACCCTATTGTGCGTGTGCTTGTACTTAGAATCCTTGCTCTTGACTGATAGTTTCTGGATCGATCACAGTGATAGTAATATTGCGTCTTTATATCAGAATGTTGAGGTTTGCTCCGGTTGAGTATGAAGCCGTAACATGCTGCATGCCATGGATCTTGAGAGCATTATAGGCTTCTTCATAGGACCCGTGAAGACTATCTGGAGGAGGGGCGAAATCCTCTATGCTGAGGTCTATAAGAGAAGGAATAGATTGAACATTGATAACTAATTGAAGTTGTCCCTAGGCGAAGACGATTAGACAAAGGAAATTGCGCGCTAGGCCCAGTTAAGTGATTAATTTCCACCATTACTAGCGGGGATGTAAAATCTCACGGGGATGTAAAATCTCAAAAACGGGATGTAAAATCTCACCAGCCTTGTTGTTGTCCAAGTTACCAAGTAGGCAAGTAGGGCTTGGCAGCGCACGGATCCCTTTTCTGGTGGTGGAAGTCAGGGTGGCGCATCCGCAGCCTTCGGCGTCGCGATAACCACTGACGGTGAAGTCCTGGGGCATATGCTCATTTGCTATGGGCGGAGGGCCTTTGAGTGGAAAGCTTCTGGGAAGAAGGAGTATCAAAATGAGGACCGCTTATGAGCAGAGATACGGAGTGTTGATAATTATCTCGTTATACCAGACGTGCCAAGCCCTCGATGATTACTAAGGAATAAATTCGCAGTAAGGTTTCAGGGCTTCAGCCCGTCTGGCTACTTTTTGTACAGAACGTGCAACGATTTGTATGCAACAATAAATAAGGATTATTTGTCAAAATCCAGAGGCTCTAAAGTGACAAAAACTTCCTCATCTGTTTCCTGGGGATCATTATCATCCTCGTTATCATCTGTATCATCCCCATACTCGTTTTCGCCATCTGATGTAGTGAATATTCCCTCTGGCTGTCTCTCCGGTCGTCGTTGTATCGGTGATACAACATCACTTTGGTCAATCGTTCTGATTGTGTCAACAGTATCTGCTCGCTTCCTCCGTCTTACTTTCCTTTTCGTTTCTTCCATCTCCAGTAGTTTCCGTGTCGTTCCGTCTTGCTCGCGCGAATACACCAAGAGCAGACATTGACGATGAAGGCGGGCCCTTGGTTGTGGCCGTTTGGCAAGAAGAGCTCGAGTCTGGAGCAATTCCGGGTGATGATTCGGCGGCCGACGCCGCTCTAACC